AGCCTTACCTTAGGGAGGGGACCTGTCTCCCCTTTATATTTCTTTCCGCAGCTGTACACACAGTCTTTAGTCATGTTCTCCTCTATGGGGGAGGGGTCTTACTCAGGAGAGATATCTGCAAAGTGTCGTCAAGCTTTTAAAAGTTGTCCTGATGTTATAGGGACCACAGATCCTTTGTATTTTCTCAGATAACCCCTTCACATAAGGCAGGCAGACTGTTTTCTGAGGGTTGTTGTCCTCCTCTTGTATCTGCCTATCCCAGTTTTTTGGGCTGCTGCCATGTACCCAGGGTAGTTGTTACGTTGTAGGGTACTACTTATACTGACCAATTCTTTATCTAATGTCTCTGAGTTGCCACTTATGGCTTTTGCTCGGTGTTGTAAGCAGCAGACAATCCCTTTCTTTATGCTGTATGGATGGTGGGAGTTCGGTTCAACATTCCAACCACCTGAAGAAGGCCGGAGTGTTGTAATAAATATGGCAACAAAGATGAGGACAGTAGTCCGAATAAAGTAAATAGTGTATATATAATTTAATTGTTAATGAAAACAGACAACTTTAAGGGTCTCTCTCTCTCTCTATATATATATATATATATATATATATATATATATATATATATATATTTATAATTTTTTTTTTTTTTTTTTTTTCTAATAATTTTTACTACATTTATATATATATATTTTTTTTTCTTCCAGGCCATGCTACTTCAATTATCAACAGCATTTGGTGCCATGTTGGGAACTGTGTGCAGTCTAGTGGCTGGAAGTGCTGGAGCATCAGCCACAGCTTGGGTTTTGCCTTTTACTGCTGGAGGTTTTATTTACATTGCAACTGTCTCAGTCATTCCCGAACTGCTTCTTGAATCACATCCGGGACAATCACTGAAGGAGATTATTGCCTTGCTTCTTGGTGTTTTTATGATGGTCTTAATTGCTGAGTATGAATGAGATGGGGTGATGATGCGAAAACCTTTCAGAGATGTTTGTGTATGTGTGTGGGTGTATCTGTGTGTGTGCATTTTACATAGAATTTGACTTTGATCAGAAGAAAGAGAGGGTAATGGAACTGACAGGAGTTCAAAGGGGTTCTTGTCCATCTCTAAGGGATTTTTACTTTGTTTGGGTTTGTTTGCTTTAATCGTCCAAACTGAGTGAATGAATAGCTAAAATGAACGAATGAATTAAGAGTAAAATAAAATACTCATTCATTTTATTTTTTTCTTTCATCTGCTATTCACTCAATTAAATTTTATTTTATTTTTTTCTTAATGAATGAAAAAGATATGAAGTAATAGAAAATAATTTTTCATTCATTTTATTCTTGATTTTATTTTTGCTTATAATTGGAGAACTACAAAGTTATAAATATTTCTTTTGTCATTCTTTTTCTAAACAAATGAGAGAAAAGTAATAAAGAATAAAATTTATTGCATTGATGAAGAAAATCAGTGAGTGAGAATTCTGAAAAAATGAAGGCAAAAGGAAAAATCTTTATTTTTGTTTACAAGATTTTATTTCAAGTTTATCTGCTACCTAGACTCACCTCCAATACCACTCTTGTGTCAATGAAAAAAAAGAAGGTATTTCTATAGAAATAATAATTTTTTTTAAACAATTGTCAAAGAGTGAAGGGAGTTAAAATAATAGTGGTGTCTATAGAAAAACTGTCTTTTTAACACACTGTTTTTTATGGACATGGTGGTCCAAGTTTTCATATATATATATATATATATATATATATATATATATATATATATATATATATATATAGTTGGTGTTGCTAGTGTTAATAAAACAGTGCTCGATGTAATAAAACAAAGCTATTAAGTATATATTAATAAATATACATATTGTACACCCCCACCCCACCAAGCTGCTCTACCAGTGAGGGATTATATATATATATATATATATATATATATATATATATATAATATATATATATAAAATGAGGAAGAACTATTCTTAGCCAACGTGTTTTGTCCTCTGAGGGACTTTATCAAGGCACACTTGCCTTGCTAAAGTCCTTTAGAAGACAAAATGAATAGGTTTTCATCTTGTCTATTTTTATTGATTTTCTTTGTTTACAGACACACTCTATCTGAATAAAACTATATATATATATATATATATATATATATTTTAATTAAAACTCCCTTTGCCCAGAGGGATGCAGGTTCAAATCTTGCCAAAGAGTGTAAATTTTTCTTTAATAAGATTTCTCAAACATTCAGGCTGGTAGACAAAAATAAATAAACATACTGTTTAATAAATAAATGGAGTGTCCTCCCAAATATGAGTATCCACTAAAAATAAGTTTCAAGTATGTATTTAATTTTCCAAGATTTAAGGGTGGGGAATACTCTGCTATAGATATTCAATGTAAATTGATCCCCTCCTACACCCCCACCCAAAAAAAGAAAAATAAAAGGTAAAAGAAATAATTAAAAATAATAAAAAAAGTAAGAATCTGGTTTAAATTTATATTTCCTGATTGTTTCAGAATTATTTAACATTTTGTACTCTCGAGTATTATTTTAACAACATAAAAAAGAAAGTAAGCATATGCTTTAGATAATTTAAATATTAACTTTTATATTTTAGGCTAAAATTATTTAAAATTTTGTAGAAATATGCTTTGCCATGGTGTATGAGCATACTTTTTTGCTTGCATAGGGGGATCAGTTTACAATGTATTTACATAGCAAATTAAACCCCCTTTTCAAAAAATAAAATTTATATTTGTGAGAGCTTGCTCAATAGTAGTCTGAAAGGAAATTTGGGAAAAGAAAATGATTATTTCTTGAAGAGGCACACTTCTGCAGAAACCAAAAAAAAAAAAAAAAAAATAACTATTATTTTAAATTCTGGATTGAGAAGTGACCAGGTACAATGGGAGGTTCATATACAAGGTAGTAGCATTTATCAAAAAAACAAAAACAAAAAACTAAAACATTATTAGCAACTTTTAGGTTAAGGAAAAAAACAAAAAAAACAAAACACTTTCAGTATCAATGTTTCTTAAATTATACAAAACCAAAAAAAATATAATCTAAATATTTCAAAAGTTCTTTGAATGACTGTACTTGTTTGTGTTCCTTTTGTTATCAAAATGTTTCAGCTGAGGTGTACAATCTGTAAGGGAAGAGAAATGAATCCTTTTCTAGAAAAATTCTTCTACCTCCTACATTAATGGCAATGGTGTTATCATTGTTTGCTAATGTCATGAGGTTTTTCTGCTTCACCCTTTATTTTCGGTTTTGTTCTCACCCAAAGGAGGTTTCCTTTTTTCCTATATGGGTAGTGCCCCTGAAGAAGGTTGTATAATTTGCAGAAACATTGTAACACCCAAAAGAAATGAGTTCAATAGTTTGAATATCTTTTGGAATGATGTCTTAAAATTACGTTACAAATATTTGGAAAAAATATTTCTTGAACCTCTGATAAGAGAGAAGCTGAAAAAGTGAAAATTTGAGATTTCCTCTGCAATATTCAAACTTGAAACCTGTTCACAGTATTTTGATGTTAATAAAATTTTATTAATCAAAATTATTTACATTTTATCACTTTTGTGCAGTAGCTTTTTGTTTTTATGGGATTATTGTTCTTGAAATGTGGATAAACCAAATCATAATTCAGTTTGATTTCTTATTAATAAAAAAGTAAACAATTTTGTATGTCAAAAATTGTTTACTTTATACTCCTCTTACAGTTTCAGCAGAGTTGGCTGCACTCTCTTGCCTTGTTTGTCAAGCAGTCTAGGAGAAAGAAAACTTTGGATTCAAAAGCAGCCTGAAGAGTGGTAGCTTCTGTCAAACTAACTTGCCCTAGATACACCAATGCTGTTATGGCTGCAGTACATGTGGTACCCTTATGCCACTAATGGGTTATGGGATTTGTGATGTGACATCTTGTTCACATTGGTTGCGATCATATGAATTATTCAGGTTTTCCTTGAGAATCTCTAGGCTGACTGATAAAACCCAAAGAATCTGCAATGTTTTTAATCCTGGCCTGGCATCTCAGCTTTAATCACTTACTCACCACCATAATGTAGCTTTCCTGTGAATTTTCTATAAATATTTTGATGGCATTTGTTCTGATGAACTTTTCTCTCTGAGACCTGGACTTTATGAATTTAAGCACAGTGCTAGATTGGTGGCAAAGTCTCATCATTTTACAGTTAAGTGGCTAGATGCAACTGTAAATTCTATGCTAACAGTTTCTTCTCTTGCACTTCTTGCCTTCTGGCTTCCCAGTCAACTTAGAGTTTCAAAAATTTTAATGCAATGTCAGTCATTATCATCTGTCTTAATTCCTATTCCTTTATTTTCTTTCCTTAATAGTGTTTCTTTTTCTTTTCTCATTTTCTCTTACACTCAGTAACCACTTGCATCTTAGTGACTTTATTGCCTTGTTTGTTGTGAAATGATTTTAAAAAAAAAAAAAACAAACAAACTTCATAACTGATTTGACTCCTGTGAGATCTGATGGATTGTTGGCAACCATCTTCATGGATGTATCTGGCTGAAAGGAAAATTCTCATGCCTTGTAAAACATTAAATCAAAATGTGTATTAGGGAATGTATTCAATCAACAATATCTGAGTCAATGACCTGTCATTTAACAGACAAGTAATGAATTTAGTTTCAGTAGAACTGGACGATCTTTGAGGTGACGAATTCTGTTAACCACAGTTCCAGCTTGTGTTTGTTTTTGTTTTTTTTTTTTTTTTTTTTTTTTAAATGGTTTCTTTCATATTGTGTTACTCCTGGAGACAGAGATGACAGTCAAGGTAGGTCCGAGCTACATAGTAAGTGCAGAAGAACTTCCCAGCCCAGATCTAGTAGTTTCTGGTGAGTGAGTCGACCTTGTGATGTGTGGATGTGCATTGTCATGAAGAAATTGAATAGCTCATTACTGGATGCAGTTCTGTGATTTTTGTTGCAAAAAATTGTTTAAGTTGTGCACAGTACTAGTCTAGATATTGGCAAGGTGCAGCTCCCAGTAGATCATATCCAAACAGTCCCACTTTTTTTTTTTCTTTTTTTCCTTTTTTCTCCTCTTTTCTCCCCTTTTCATCTTTTTTTTCTTTTAACTAAATCCTACATGCCATTAAATCCATTACCATTGTCAAATGGTAATATTAGCCATTTCTTTATAAGGAAACATTCACCATTCATTGACCAAGCAGTCAGTGCTGCGGTTGGTTGAAATTTATAAAATTATTCTCTTAAAACAAGGAAAATAGGTTTCTCAAGTCTAGTAACTGTTATTGCACTTTCTAGTATTAATGGGGTGTTTCCTTCCTAGTTTTTTATTAATGGGGAATATCAACATCTCGATTAAAATATTTGTGATATCCATTTTAGCTGTTGCTGCTGTTGAAAGTCTTTAAGTGATATTTCTCTTTGTACTGTTACGAGCCTGTTCTCTTCCTATTGATTGTTTCTGTTTCAGAAAGGTTTAACTTGAATCTTATTTCTTGGGACACTTGGTAAAAGATGTTGATTTTTTTTTTTCTGTTCAAGATCCTTCTTATCCCAGCATGAATACCTATGTCATGGTAAAATGTTTGATGACAATTTAAAACGGGTTTAGGAATTGAACAAATCCTGTGATTGCAATAGGAAGAATGTGCTCCAGGACTTTGAGAAATGTAGGTTTTGATATCTTTATAAATCTACAACATGCAATAAGGAGAATAATTATCTGCACGCTATCTTGGTGAAAAACATTTAAGAAAACAGACTGGACAAAAGATTTCTGTGTTGACTGTTTATGCGAACAAAGCTGACTTGCTGATATGGCAAGAAATCTGATTGGATGAAATGACTTTAGGCTTTTGGAGAGTAAAATTTGAATTCATTTTCAGGTGGCATTGAATTACCTAAGATTTGGATTATACAAAGTGTGACTTTTAAGCTAGTAAAAAAAAAAAAAAAAAAATAAAACAAATTTTAACATTGATCTTTGGCCAATCTATCCTGATGAGCATTTAAGAATGAACTTGTAATATTTATAATAGCAATCATACAAAGATGTTAAATCTATCAAGCATTGGAAATGTTAATGTCTCTTCTCATTATTACAGAGAATAGACACAATCAAGTTGGATCTTCTTTTAATTCAAGCAAATCTGATCAGAATGGTCTTTGTCAGAATTTTAAAGATCATGACTGTATTCTTTGCTATTCAGACCAGCATTCTCATCTTCGTCATTATACTCTCAACATTTTGACTTTTACCAATTAAACAATCTTATTTGATATTTTTGACATGAAGAATTATCATTATCATGCTTTGCTATTTGTACCAGCTTTGCTCATCTTGGTGGTTACACTCATATTTTAGACATCCAGCCTTCTTCAGGTATCTGTCCTTATACTTAATCACCTTAGAATTTCAAACCAAACATTTTATTCAGTCCACCAGGGTAGATTATTCTTACTCCATTTTCTATATTTAAAGAAGATATGACTTGCTTAGAGGAGATAACTTCTATCAGTTAATATACCAGTCATATTCATTTCTGTGTTGCTTTATTGTCGCTTCTGCTGAAAAGATGTGACTTTACAGCACTACCAGATGCAAGGATTGAACTCACAACTCATCCACTAAGCCCTGAAAATGAAACATTTTTAAATCACTAATTTTTTTTTTTTTTTTTTTTTTTTTTTCAATTTAAAATTTGAAATTTTAACTTTCATTCTCATCTGGACACAAATCCCAATGCTGGATGTTCAAGCACCAAATGAAGGGCAGATTTTCAATCCTGAGATCATCATGATTCCAAAATTGTATATGTTTATGTAGAACACGTGTGACCAGAGTTAGAGGGGTTTCAGACACATGGACAGACAGAATTTGCCATTTATTTATTTAGATTATATTTGAGTCTGTAGGTTTGGGTTGATACTTGAGTCTATAAGCAAATATAGATGTGAGGGATAGTGGCCTGAAATGAGAAATTGGAGAGCTGAGTTTGCTACATACACTGATGTGCAAATACCCTTGAGAAAGATATGAATCATATTTTCTACCTTTTAGCTTTGGATTAAATAGTTTTGTATGTAGAAAATAAATCATTATTAGGCAATATTCACTTGCCTAAAAAAAAAAATGAAAAAGAAATATTATTATGCTACAAAAATGTTTTTGGCTTTAAAATGACCCACAAAGGGTTGAGAAATTGTAAAAAAAAAAAAAAAATTCAATCAACCATACCCAAGTCTGGACAGTGGTGTCATAGCCAAATCGCAGGGGATGCAGTTGCCGTTTTATATTTTTAATTTCACACGTGTTTTTTGATTTTGTCAACTCTACAGTATAGTAGGTTCAGTTGGGCATCATCTGAAAAAGAGCACTATGATGCAATTTACTCCATCAGAAATTTGGAAATGGCATGCTGTACTGCTTGGCATTTGCACCAGAAGCCCTTATACAAATATTTCAGAGTGTTTTGGTATCAATCTGAGGACAGTGCAGAGGATTAGGAAAGAGATGGATGAGTCTAATGGTGCTTACAAGTGATGGTGACATTATTCCTCCATCCATCTTTCCACAGGGCCCGAGTCAACATGGAGGCCTACATCAAGTGTTTTGGGAGACTAAAAATTTAAAAAACCCTTAATTGCTTTAAATTACAAGCTCACTATATATACAGGATGTGATGGATAAATTATCACCATTTTTATATTTTTAATTTTGTGCATATATGTTGGTTTTTTTTATTTTGTTGACTGAACAGTATAGTATGGTCAGTTGGGTACTGTCTGTGAGAAAAAGAGCACCATGACACAATACACTCCGCCAGAAATTTGGAAACGGCATGCTGTACTGTCTGGCATTCATATGGGAAACTCCAATACAGATATTTCAGAGTGTTTGGGTGTCACTCTGAAGATAGTGCAGGGGATTTGGACAGAGTTAGAGGAGTCTAATGGTGATTACGAAGGTATGGCAACTTGGAAAATTCACTCTGCTCGTTCTGGAACTCCCAAATTTGTTGGTGAGGGCCTTAGACTCAACATGGAGGCCTACATCACATGCCTTGAGAAGATAGTGCTGCCCTGGGTCAAGAGTGTGGCTGCTAGGAGACCCTATGTCTGGCAACAGGTCTCTGCACCATGCCACACAAGCAGGAGGCCCCAGTCATGGCTGTCAGACAATTTCTGCAATCACATCACCCCTTAGATCTGGCCACCTAACTCCCCAAACTGCAAACCTCTTGATTATTATGTGTGGGGTGCAGTTGAGCAAGAGACAAACAAAACTCCTTGTAACACCAAAGATGAATTCAAGGCAAGAATTATGGTAGCATTCACCAACTTAAACAAGGAGACCAACCTGAAGAGTTGCAGGAGATTCCGAAGTAATCTGGAGGACGTGGTTGAAGTCAATGGCAATTTTATTGAATAAATTTACTCTTTAGAATTTGAAGATATTTTTGTGTAATTTTGGTAAATATATCTGTTAAAATGAGATGTCAGTGTTATTTTCATTTTTGTGCAATTTATTCATCGCACCCTGTATTCACACACACACACACACACACACACTCACACACACAATTCTGACCTTATGCCACCTCCCTTAACTTCCAAAAAGAGGCCACAATTTGGTTTTAAATTTCCCCAATAAATCATTTTTTATCACAAGTTATCTACCGTCACCTGATGAAGTACGAACGTAGTCGTGCTTGTGTCCGTCGGCTGCTCCCGCCTCCTACGTCACTTCGGCTCCGGCAGTCTCTAGAGAAATGGTTTGGTCCACCGCACTTGTAGCACTTTGGGCCCTTTCGCGGTGTCTCGGGCGTTCTCACGGCTGCCGCGACATGTTCCGTGTCTTTCAAGATGTTTCGGGCCCTGGCTAGCAATTCGTCAATTCCCAGTGTGTCCAATGTTAAAGACGCTCGCAGGAGCCGACTGGTGTCGTCGGGAAGTCCTGCCAGGAAGGCGCATCCCAGTATGCGGTCCGTTGCTCCGCCAAACGGCACCGCCAGCCTTCGCAAATCGGCCAGGTAAACATCCACGGTCTCACCCGGCTCGAGCCGTCGTCCGACGAACTGTTTCCAAGCGATGAAGGGGTCTATTCCAAAGGCCGTGTATAGGGCACTCTTGATCTCTTCTAGGTCAGCATCGTCCCCGAGTTGTTGATATACGGCATAGGCTCCCCTCGTGAGTCTCAGTGGGATGACGACTGCAGGTTCTTTTATTTTGGACACCATGAAAAACACGTTCGGCCTTCTCAAATCATTCGACGACGAGGAGGGTAACCGACAAAACAGTGTCACACATCCAACCTTCTCACGAGCACCCCCCCCAAAAAAAAACAGTGATCAGTAACAAAAACGCACCTGCTTTATAAAGCCGAGGACCGACCACGATTTGCATGCGAATGACGAGACAACGAGATTTCGCGTTAACTGTCCAAGACCGCCTGGCATAAAACGTGGGTGCCACCATTTTGGTTCATTTTTTACCGTTGAGCAAACCGGAGTTTGCACATCGCACAGATTCGCAGGCGTTTCCGAGGTAGGCCATTTTCACAATTTTCTCCACAACTATGAACTGTGTATTTTTGCTCCATTTGTTCTACCTCTCAGTTGGATATTTGTGTGTGTGTATTTGGGCAGCAATCCCTCTTTTATACAAGTTTCATTAAAGATGATAAGGTATTGTAATTAAGTTTGTCAGTCATCTTTAATGAAACTTGTAATAAAGAGGCATTGCTGCCACCACCTACAACTCCTTAAGCAATTCCATCAGCATTGTCACCGTACCATCCTCAACATTCACTGGAGTGACTACGTCACCAACGTGGAGGTCCTCTAACAGGCGGAAATCACCAGCATTGAAGCCATGTTGTTTAAGTCTCAGTTACAGTGGGCAGGTCAAATCTCCAGAATGGGGGACTATCGCCTGCCCAACATAGCCCTGTATGTCATAATCTCCACTGGTCACTGTGATAGAAGGGCACCAAAGAAGCGTTATAAGGACTCCCCCTTGAAGTCCCTCGGTACCTGCCACATTGACCATCGCCAGTCGTCGACACTTGCTGATGACCCTCAAGCCTGGTGCTGCACCGTCCACCAGGCCATCTCCACCTTTGAGGACTCTCACAGGGTCAACGTGAAGGAGAAACGTCATGGGAGGAAGGACCGGGAAGCATCAACAGCTGTATCAGACCAGACCTTTAATTGCAGTCGCTGCATCCGGACTTTCCTGTCCTGCATTGACCTAGTCAGCCATCAGCGTGCCTGCAGTCAACATGGACAGCCCACTTCATAAATCTTCACTCGTGAAGCCAGGCCAAGAAGAAGAGGAGATATATTAATAAATATACATTTATTTCATTACCGGTAGTACTAATCTATAATATTGCACTTTGAGTTCTGATGTGAATAAAATAGTGTTTGATGCAATATAACAGAGCTATAAATCATATATTAATAAATATTTATTAATATATAATCTATAGCTCTGTTATATTGCCTCGAGCACTATTTACATTTGCAATAAATATTTATTAATATATAATTAATTATTATAAATTACTAGTTAAGATACCACCAAACCAAATAAGAAAATGAAATAATAGCCAAGTGAAAACATAAAAATATTTATCATTTAAGCATTAATACCAATTATTTATGTAAGAAAAAATGAAATACAACTTTCATAGCTCAAGAAAAACTAGAATGCTCAAAAATTAAAAATTATAACATGTCTAGAAAAAAATAGACATAAATAGCTATAAATGGCTACAATTGAAAAAGAGGTGATGATAGAAAAGAAGGATATTTCATTATCCTAACCCTCATCCTTATAAAAACGACCCATCCACCATAAGAGAGTGAGTAGAGTAGAAAAACCGTAAAATAGGGTACCTGTAGCAGTAGTCAGTGATGAGTAGACAAGTAGCAATTCAGAAACACAGGTCTAGCCAGCGCTCTGTGAATGTCAAAAACAGACGATTTCAAACGCCATCCTGACAAACGAAATTCTTGGAACCAAGCCAAGTAAGCACTGACTTTTAAACAAGAGACACTGAAAACATTTTTTACACAGACTATACCAATATTTTGTAATTCACATCACAAAAAGAAAATTAAAATTCTTGTTATTTATGTCAACAAATGTCTCAATTATTATAGTTATTGTTGTATGTTTTATGCATTTTAATTTGTCATTTATAACAAACTGTTCCAGAAGGTTCATCACCCAGCGACAGGTCTAGTTTTTAATCCTTCTGGTTTTATAACCATCCTCCTCACCAGAAAAGCCTGGTGGGGGAACTGGTTTAGTCACCAATGTGGGAGACAGTACTATGTTACATGGTACCAGTAACAAAAAATGGTTATTTTAAAATTCAGTCTTTTTGCAACAATTTTACTGCATGACTTCAAAAATATACAAATGGGTGCTGAAAAGTTCCCAGAGCAACACACTTTCCGAAATCTGGCCAAAAGTCAGATTTATTTATTTAATCCCTTCTTCATATGTCAAAGAATTTTCCAGCGCCCTCTCTGATAAACAGAAATTAATTTTATACAATTTTTCACTCAGCTTAGTTAAAAAAAAAAAAAAATCAGGGGGAGATAATTCCGACGAAAATTTCTCTTTTACTACGCTACCTTGGGACCAGTAACCAGTTGTATATATTGGTAACAAAGATGGCGTCGGAAACCGACATTCCAGGTAAATAATACATAGAATTTAAGTATTTCTTTTTGGTTTTCTGCGCAGACAGGCGCTGAGTTAATTTCTGCAAATATACGCACGTGTAAGAAAGGTATATGCTTCGCATTTTTCTCACAGAAAAATCTTAATATATGTAAATATACCTCGTTGTTAAGGTGCTTGCTTGTTGCTTTGTCAATTTCGCAAAAGATGAAGTGAAGTACAAATTACAAAGTTTTGGGATTTTTAAAAAAGGATTTGAACTTTAGTTTTTCTATATTTTTGGATGCTGCATTTAATTACAATTTAAGAAATAAGTTAATTGGACTTATTAAAAATTTTGAAAATTTACGTTTTAAACTTTAGCCGAGTATATTTTGAGTTTTTTTTAAAAGTGACAAAAGTTAAAAAAAACAAGTAATTTAAATCTAATTTTTTTTTTTTTTTATCATTAGACAAATTTCATGCGATATAAGTTCTTTTTAAACAATAACAACGCTCTTGCCTCAAAGCCAAAGTTAGGAGATAATACTTTTTCTTATTTTTCACACTGACTACACCACTAAGATTTACGACTTACGAAAAAACATTACCAATTCTTCTGTTTATTCCTGGAGAGATGTGTTATTATGACTGTCATAAACGATTTATATTCTTTTTTTCTCTCTGTGTGCGTGTTAAAAGTTTATAAAAAATGCACAGCACAACAAAAAAAAATTATCATTTTATTTAATTTTTTAATAAAAAAATTTATTTGAAAAACATTTGTTTTTTTCAGGATAAAAAAGAAAGTCATAAAAATATAAAAAAAAAAAACAACCCCAAATCAAGGATGAGTTTACAAATTAAGAGCAATTGTAATTTTAAAATTCATTTTCATGATAATTATTTGCCACACAATGAAGGTAAATTTGACACTTTGAGTGTTTTCCGTGTGTGGTTCTGACTCTCTCTCTCTAGTGACCATTGTGGCCCTATACAGCAGAGACAACATCCTGCATCACCTACAGTAGAAAGTCTGGCTGCTGGATAAAGCTGCCATTTTACAATACCATCTCTTCTCCTTTTGCTCTTCAGTTTGGAAAAGGCAAAGTTCTTGATAGTTGTTCCCGCAGGAGATGAGAGTTCTTTTCTTTTTAAGGAGTCCTGGTGTCTTTTCAGTTTGAGAATAATTCAACAGAAAGAAGGGCTTTTGGAAAACTTTGATATGTGTTTTGCCCACTACTCTCTTTGCCCACCCATGTTATTAATTAAAAAAAGAAAAAAAACAAAACATTCCACTCTTATTGCAACTTACATATTTTCATGGAAACTTCCTAGAAAAATTTCAATTCTAATAAAACGACCATTTAGAATTCTGAAACTGATTTGATATGGATTCTAAACATTGTTGGAAAAATACTTTTTTACATTTCAAATAAAATGTCATTTAAATATAAACATCAAATGCTTTTCACTTTAAACATTATTTTAATACTTTTATAATTAACTTGGCAGCACTCCTCTCCTCATAATATAGAATAAGCTGACAGGATAACACATTATTAGCTGAGTAGAATCTTGACTGAGATTTTTATTGTGCCTCAACAACAAAAGATGTTACTGGCAATACCCACCCGAAATAGCTTGAGAAATGCCAAGAATTGGCCTACATGGTCGCTGTATACTCTTGGGACAGCAATAATCATAAAATACCGATCCACATCCTTGACCACACTCTTACTCCACTTCTCTTGGAAAGTTCCAAGAAAAAAAATGTCATTTCTAATAAAATTAAAATATATGTTTTAAAAATTTGTTGGGATTTCAGTATCCTGTCTTAAAACATATATTGTCAACATGGAAAACACATGTATAGATCAAAAAACAAATCTTTTACTTTCAACCCATTCTGAAGGATTAGATGAGGATTTGACTTGTATTCATTTCAGAAAAGGCTAAATGAATGTCTTGCTTTTGAACCATTCTGAAAATGAAAAGAAGATTTGCCTTTAATTCGATGCAAAAAAGCTTGCAAAATATATTAACAACTTTCAACATGTTCTAAGAATTATAAAGAAGAGATACAGAATAAAAATGAATGGCTTTTTTCTAAGTCCTCATTTTATATCTTTAATTACAAGAAGCGTCAGCTTAGGGAAAAAGTACTATGAGTCATTATTTCAGCATATGCACAAATACACATATTTCTTTCTTACATTTTTTTGATCTGATGAAGCCTAGAAAGGAAAAACATGTAATTAAATCTATTTTCAATGAAATGTTTTCCATTTGTCAAATTATATATATATAATAAAGAAAATAGAAAAGACACTTATATTTTGAATCAAAATGAGTTGAAATTTCTTGAGCATATAATGATAAAATAAGGCTTGAAGAATTTGACACTCACAGGACATATTGAAAACAAGATGGCCAGAGGAAAGCAGCAAGTAACTTACCTAATGAGCTTAAAGTTGTTAGAACAGGGATTAGGAGAGATAGCAAGAAGCCTTACATAGAGCTACAAAGAGCAGGAAATTGTGGAGTACCATATTGTCCATGTCTTGAAGGGACACAGTTCATAGAAGAAGATTCCTTTATTTAATAATAAATCTTGAAGTATGAAGAAGTAGAAATATTTACACATAGACTATTGTTCTCATCTTTGTTGTTGTTATGACAGTCTTTCAGCCATTGAACCCTACAGCCTTTATCAGGTGTATATTGATCCAGGTAACCTACAGGAAATTCCAAACCAAACACTTTATTTAATTTATGGGGGAAGATTGTTCTCATTCCACTACATATAAATAGGGATATCTTGTCTATTTCTTATTTTGATCTATTATTATTATTATTATTGATAACAACAAAAATGTGGACAGTAGACTGCATGTAAAATAACTCCTCATCCCATAAATTCAGACAGAAAGCAAGAAATGTTTTGAATAGGAGTAGAGGTTTATCCCTTGTTTTCTGTTTAGGATTGGGTTTCCAATTCTTTCTAAAGTCTACTTCACCTTAAATAGATATGTTTGTCTGTTGTCCGGTTCACACTCCTCCCTGGTCTTTTGAACAAGAGTAGAGATTTATTCCTTGTTACCTGTTTAGCATTTCTGGTTCCTTCTAAAGTCTTTCACTTCTCTTTCACTTCCAGTAGCCCCTTATGTCTCAGTGGCATTATTCCCTTGCTTGGAGATAATTGATTAAAAAAAAAAAATTAGAAACATGTTGAAAATTAGTTAAACTACATCCGGCAGCAAGGCCTCTGATCAGCAGATTGGAGGTTTTGAGGAGCATGGAACCAGCTCTCAATTGCTCTTGTTCCCAGGTCCACCTTGACCTGGTGTGGTAGCATCTGTTAGGGTCCCAGCTATGGGCAAATAGTGAACCCCCCAAACAAAAACAAAACACTATAAAAGTATAAAAATATATTTTTATAGTAAAATTACCAAAAATGCATATTTATAGCAAAATGACTAATGATACATTTTATGGTAGAGTTACCAACAATACATTTTATCTATAGTTGAAGGCATGCAATTGCATTCAAAATATATTTAGTTGAAGCCATAAAATTGTGTTCAAAATACTTAGATTCCGGCATTGAATAACCCATAAAGGTTGATATACTGCTAAAAATCAACCAAACAACAAGCATGAAAGAAGTCTTTCATGACATTAATCCATATAATATCCTACAATTTCTTAAAGAAACTATATTCAAAAATATAACTTCAACAAAATTACGACATAAAACAAACATATCACTGCCTCTAGTAATCACATGCACAGAAATATGTATATGCACAAAAGCTGAGGATCATGTATTCAATTGTGAAAGCAGTATCACATATCATGTTTTTATTAGTTCAAAACTCCCAAGAAAATTGAATTTTTGACATTTAATGACCCATAAAGAATTGATATACCATTAAACAAGCACTCTGCATTATTCACTACTTTCCTTTCCATTGTTTTTCAAGGCTCCTCTACTGCACTACTTAATTTCAGTCATAGTCATTTTATATTGTCATAGCAGGATATGACAACACAACTACAAAATTCGAACATGCTATTATTCATTCATTTGAGTCACTTGCAGTGACAGGATAAAATTTTTGCTTTGCAAACAAAATCAGATCCAGTATGTTAAAGATTAAACTTAAAATTACTTAAAAAATGAAAAGTGTTTTTAATTCTCTTAATTGCTGCTTAAAAAAATCAACAAAAATAATAACTAAGGTAAAACGTTCTAATAGCCTGACATTTGGACTGTTTTACCTTGTTTTATTGGTATTTTTATTTTTTAATCTTTTAAATTTATCAGCAATTTTCTTGGATACAGTTTGGATGTACAGGTGTAGTTTAATGAATAGCAGATCAGAATGTGAAATCAGAAAGTCAAGTTTGAATTCCAATCAAATTTGTTATATTCATTTACATGCAAATATTCTTGGGAAAGATATGAATCCATCTCTTCCCCCCAGATAAGGTTTAAGGACTGACATCTTGAAAAATCTTTATCTCCAAGAAACTGTGAATGCAATATTAACTCACAAGAATCTCTTACATTCACTTACAATCCAAAATATATGTCAACTTTTAATAACCCATGATAAGTTGTAAAAAAAAAAATCAACATTGATAAACGTTTATTTTAAAGATGGTCACTAAAGAGAATTTATATCACTTTTTTTCTATAGTAATTTTCACCAAAGACATTTGTGCAGAAATTCAAGAGTTAAAATCAGAGAAAGTGATTGCTTTTATGGAAGATGCTGCATCTGGGAAGCTGAAAATGGAGGACATCTAAGCAGCAGCATTTTTTCATAAAGCAATTTTGCCTCCATTTTATAAATTCTTATAAAAATAATCATGAATAATTAACAAACAGGAATATGAATTAATTTCTAAATTCTCAATCTGATGTTTGTGACAGCAGAATCAGTTAAAGCATTTTTCTCCCAGTATTTTATGAGATTTTTTGGTAATGTTTTAACCTTTGTGTCTGGAAAAAAAACAGATGGGTATACACTTGACACTGCTGTTACCATGTACTTTTGACTCCACTAGCAATATTTATTTATAAGATTATAAAATATATGAACCAAGTACAATGAGATATTTATTTAGATCTGTTCTTATGTGTGTTTTTCATGACTAATTTTCTCCACCTTTTTAATCTTAAAATTCAATTAAAACTTTTCAAATAAATTCATAATTTTTTCAATTGTTTTTTGAAAATGAAGGTCTTAGCTATGGTCAACTGGAGAGGAAAAACACCAAACGATAAAATTTTTCAATAACTTTGAATTGGAATGGTTTTCAATTCTCTAAAAATGTTAAAAAAAAAAAATTGGCCTTTTGATGACAGATAATGGATTTTTTAAATACTGATGTCTAACAAAAATGTGCATGTCAACAATGAAAGTCAAAGTATGGAGAGTCTTGATCATCTATGTCCTGAAGGACATCTACAGAGATTGATTATCCCAGTTAGCATAAAACTAAAATTTAAAACTTGGAAGCTAAAATGAATTTCAAAGTTAATTGAGAAAAGCAAGAGAAGTCAGAAAATGAAATGCTTTTTTTATTAGTAAAATCTTGATTTAATAATTGCTGTTTTGTTTGGCAGATTGTAAACTAACATGACTTATTTCCTGCCATTTAGTGTCTGTTGGTCATTAGTTGGGGACCACATGATTGTTACCCTCCACCTCTATTTTGGTTTTCATCTATCATCTGTCACCCTCAAGTCACAATTTAGGGAAACCTGCACTAGATCTTTTAATAATTTTCTCATAAAGGTGCCCTCCTTTTACAGTACTTAGTTTAAATTTCTTGAATCTCATGCAAACCAAAACTGTCTACCTTTTTGACTCACATACAAGGAAACCTATGCCTACCATTTTAACTCTCATGCAAACCAAACCTGTGTCTGTTTTTTTGACTCTTAGGCAAACCAAACATGTATGTACATGTTTAACTCTTGTGCAAATCAAACCTCTGTTTATGTATCTATTATTTATCTAAATGACAGAATCTGGCATTACATTACCTCAAAAAGGTTGATATACTTTAAAACATAACAAAGCAGATGGTTTCAAAGAGTGATGGCAAATTGGTTACTTTCACATTGTTCATTAGTTTGTGATCTGTGATGATGCACATCATATGGTTTTGAAATGTTTCAATTTTAGCCGAATCACATATCACACAATCTAAACCATATAAAACAACTATATATGTATATAAGGTATATCTTTATTTTAGTGTTGATTGGTACTCTTGATTGATTTCAGCATAATTTGGTTTTCCAAAACCAACTCATCCAATTTTTATTCAGTGTTTTACTGCAACTGCATGATCATTTTTGCAAGATAGTTGGGACTGACATATCTATACAAATAAAATGAATTGTCTGTCTGCTATAGACTCAGAAACTACTGGATAGTGTTCAACTAAACTTGGCATGCAGATATGAGCCAGGAAATTTCATAGCCTATGTAAAGTTGATCAAGGTCAACTGTGAAGGTTATGAAAGGTAAAAAATAAGGTCAAAATAGTAATTTCAAATGGATTGGAAGTTAAATATTTAAATAGTTAATATATAAGGGAGGTAAATCAACTTTTGTAGTAAATTAATATCCGGTTACTTCCCTTACATATTTTAATAATCTTTATTCTTTTTAAATATGCGAAAAAAATATTTTTTAAAGAAAACTGAAATATAAATAATTACTCTACAAAAAACTGGACGAAACAGCAAAGCGGGATCTCTTTGTGTTTGTCTTTAATTTTAAAATAATTTAAGTAAAAAATTGTAGAAAGTTAAAATAAAAATACTTAACTCGTGAAAATCATTAAGTACTGGACGGACGCAACACACAAGCACCCATGCAATCACAGACTTTTAGTATTATATAGATAGCTAATCAGTTTTAACCTTTTGTTATTTACACTTCTTAATATTAAATTTGCCAATTTTGAATTTTCTAAAACAATATTTTAGTCTTAGGATCAGGGGATATGCAAAAGATTTTACAATTTGGAAATTGTGTGATGAGCCTTGAAAAAGGTTTTGAACTTCTGGATTATCAAGGATTTTATTGAAAAACAGTTTCCGCTTTTCATTTTGTTTTTTTCCTAAATATACTGATTTTTTTTTTCTGTCTCTTTTCAGAAACTGGTGCCATCTTCACATTTGGGCGTTCACGTTTTGCTGGAAACGAACCCAGTAGATTCTGGGTACGAAATGACCGCATCTTACAGCTGGCCTGTGGAGATGAACACACAGCCTTGGTCACTGGTAGCTATTCATAGAGTTTTTGTCAGTTTGACTCACAGCTGACACAATTAACCCTTAACACATCATTCTAAACCATTGGTTTTTGGGTGTTTAGTACCTGGCAGCTGATCTCTTCCCTTACCTGTTCCTCATTGCTCAATGGGGGTAAAAAACTGGCTTGTATCATTAATTTCCAAAACCAACCTTGTAACTTTTCAACAGTATTGAGAAGAGCATAAATTTACTCAAGTCCTGAAAAATAGTTGTACACTCATTGAGGCACTTTGCCCTGAATATCTATTGGGAGTAAAGTGCAATCCGGAGCTTAAGCAGAACTTATATATCTGAACCATCACTAAAGATACTGTCAAAATGGTTGGTTCTGTGTGCCACCTGAGAAAGTGTTTGACTCTTTTACTCATCTCATGCTTTATCTTTAGAAGAATTAGAGAAAACCAAAACTGATTAAAATGTGATTACAAATCAAAATAATGTTCAAATATTAAATTACTTCTTCTTGATACACTAGTCCATTGATGACTCCCTAGACCAGTTTAAAAGTAATATATTAGAAATATTTTTTCTTTCCAAAATACTTTCTACTTTCATAGCATTTTTTCATTGTAAATATATCAGGAACAAATGGTATTTCTTTTTCTCTTTTAAATGATATATATACATATATATATATAGCAACAGTTTATTTTCTCCTGAAACTAAAGCCACTATACAAAGATTAGAATGGCTCATGATCAAGCATAATAGACATTCATTGTCTGTTATATTTAACAATATATGTTTGAATAATGATCTGCTGCCCTGATACACTATATATATATATATATATATAGTCATAGCCAGGGCCAGCAGTAAATATGCTAATTTTATATATCATGTATGTTGCGACCCCCCGCTTAAAATTAGCTTCAAAATTAGGTTTTCAAAAGTTGCCTGATACGTGAGTATATATACATTAATCATTTATTTATTTTTTTAATCATTTCACTCGAAGCAAGGTGATAAAGCCACAAGTAGTTACTGAGTATGGAAGGGAATGAGAAAACATTATTGAAGAAAGAAGACAATAAAAAAACAGGGTTCAGAAAAACAGAAGATGGTCATTTACATTTCATTTAAATCTTTGAAGATTGTAGATGACAGAAAAGCAAGAAATCAAAAGAGTTCTACAGGTGAGAAGAACAAGAAAATAAAAACTATTAGAATAGAACTTACGGTTTCATCTTTTGCTATTTCAACAGTAAAATGAGACTTACTTGCCAGTTTAGTAGTATACTTAAATTTATGTAGTTGTGGTACCAAAGAGGAGAGCACATTAGAACAACTGCCATGAAAATATTTATAGAAAAGCCAGAAAAAAGTCAAATCATGAAGTTGAGATGTCGGGTCAGGACTGATAGCATTACACATCCTTCTTTGGATTTTGTCAAGAATCTCAAGATACATAGTAGGAACACCAGCCCAGATATGGCAGCAATATTCAATACACAGATAAATAACTGTGCAAAGAGAAAAATTGTCTGGTACTACACAGCAAACCAACTTTCCTAGGAGTAGACCTAGTAATTAATTCAATCATTCCACTTCAGGTCAGTCACAAACATAAGATCAAGAAGGAGGTTAGCATCAGCCATGTTGATGAAAGACAAAATGGTTCTCTATAAGGATTAAAAGATAACAGTTTCATTTTGGCAGTGTTAAAATTAATAAGCCATTTCTTGCCCCAGTTAACAACTGATTGAAAGTCATTTTTCCAGATCAGTTTTATTTTGTCGGTCATATTGAACTTACTGTTACAACAAGAATAAATAGTTGTGTCATCATGATAAGTACCGATTTTGGAACTGTTGTATAGAGTGAATCTGGAATTATAAAAATTAAGATAAAAATCTGGTATTATAATTTTCTATGTGTTAAAATAGAAATCAAAGATCAAAACAAAACACATTAGCCATCTATGCAACATATAATGTATACCGATGTACATGTTGGGCTCTTCTATTGTTTGTTTTGTTTAACGGCATTCCAACCTTAGTGGTCACTTTATGCCGAAAATGATTTTGGTATAGCTTGCAACATTATTTCTTTCAAAAACATATAGCTGGCAACATTATATTTTTCAAAAACATATAGCTGGCAACATTATTTTTTTTCAAAAATGTATAACTGGCAACATTATTTTTTATTTTTTTTTTTTAAAACATCATCCTTTCACAGTGTTTTGACCCCAGTTACAATTCCATTGAATAAGATTTTGTTAAAAGATATATAGCTGGTAATATTTTTCTTTTTTTAAACGTATAGTTGGGAATATTATTTTTCAAAAAAGTAGAGCTGGTAATATTATTTTTCCAAAAACGCATAACTGGTAATATTATTTTTTCAAAAACGTATGGCTGGTAATATAATTTTTCCAAAAACGTATGGCTGGTAATATAATTTTTCCAAAAACGTATGGCTGGTAATATAATTTTTCCAAAAACGTATGGCTGGTAATATAATTTTTCCAAAAACGTATGGCTGGTAATATAATTTTTCCCAAAACGTATGGCTGGTAATATAATTTTTCCAAAAACGTATGGCTGGTAATATAATTTTTCCAAAAACGTATGGCTGGTAATATCATATTTCAAAAACACACTGCTGGCAATATTATTCTTTTGAAAATGTATAGCTGGTAATACTACTTTTCCAAAACCATATAGCCGTCAACATTAATTTTTCAAAAACGGTCTTTCTGTTGGACGTAGTTTATCGCCATACCTAATATGTGGATGTAGTTTATTGACATACCCAGGACGCGGATGCAGTTTACCGTCATACCCATGGACGCGGATGCAGTTTACCATCATGCCCATGGATGTGGATGCAGTTTATCGTCATACCCAGGACGCGGTATAGACTGGGATTTCACTATTTGCCCATAGCTGGGATCCTAACAGGTGCTACCACCTCGGGTCTGGGTGGACCTGGGAACATCAGCAATTAAGAGGTGGTTCCACACTCCTCAAAACCTCCTGATCAGAGTCCTTGCTGTTGGATGCAGTTTAACGTCGTACCAAGGACGTCTTCTATTGTCTTTGATGTATGCGGGTCCAACATTTTTGTGGTTAATTTAGGTTGCCAGTTGTTTGCAATAACTGAAATGGATTAAGGTGCTTGCTTTCAAGTGACTGACGTCTTCCTTCTTTTCTTCTTCTCGTTCAGCTCTTCGTATGACGTTACACCAACTGAAGTTTTTTTCTTGATCCTTCTCACAGACTCACTATTTATGTCTCCATCGGGGGGAACCAATATTTGCATACAAGACTTAATTCTCATTCACACGAGACTTCCTATTTTATAAATTCAAACTTGTTTGAATTCTTAGTCTTTTTCATTGTACATCTGCATGTGAGATAGGAATTTTGGAATAATCCATTTCACTTTTAATGGTGGTCACAATCTTTCAACAAGACCTGATATGCCAAGCAAATTCGCTTTGTGGGAGGTGAGTCCCCTCATTCCTCACACTCCCCCCTGATCTCATGATCACACTCCTTCGTAGAAGTGGAGGGGTGCTTCCAGTGGCAGTACTACCACGTCTACGATCTGTGGGTCCTTGACATTTCCAATGTTATCACAACCTTCCTTGTTGTCTGAATCTGTACTCTCTGATATAGGGGGCAGACTGTCTGACTGCATTGTGCAAAACATTGTTGTCTCCGAATCAATATCAGACGTCGTATCTTCTTTGTGACACTCTTCTTCTGAGGCGGTTAACTTGTGTCGCAGGCCAAGGTTTTCACATGGTGTGGCACACCATTGACCCAGGCTGTTTGGGAGCTAATAACTCCATCAATGTATCCTCTGCTAAATCTAGTGCTATAATGTCCATTTGGGGGCTTGACCCATATGAGATCACCAATTTTATATGATTCTTTTGTATTCCTCGGAATATTTGGCATTACTTGATCTTTTATCCGCTGTCTGTATGCATATATTCCATTGGCCAGTGCAGTTGATGGTGTTACATCATCTTTGGGCGTGACATTGTACCAATACACAGTTTCTTGAATGGAGCACTGTGTTCTGGCAGCTATCCTTTTAATGGTGCCATGACACTGCTCTGCTATCTCATTACCCTCTGGAATGTATGTGCCTCTGTACCTTACTTGCACTCCCCATTCGACCGTGAAGTCTTGAAAATCTCAGCTACAGTAAGTTGGGGCATTGTCTGTCAGTATTTCAATGTGGGGATCACATTCATAGAAGATAGCTCTTAATTGTTGTATAACCGATAATGCATCTTGTCATGCCAGTTGACACCACACATTGGGCTGCAATCCGTCAATGTTAGAAAATGATTGCCATTGTGATGTGTCACGTCCATGCCCAGTTGCCACCAGTTTTTGTCTACCCCAAGCTTGCCCTTGTTCCACTGGACTGGGGTAGGGTCCACTGCACAGGATTCCTCGTAACCTCATACAGCTGACCTAACCATCGCTTTTGTCACTGCAGGACATACTTTCTGGATGAAATAAGTCGAACATCGAACGCCAGGATGACTGCTCTTGCTATGTATGGCGCAAATTTGTTTGATGGTCAGCTGGCTCATAAGGGCCATGCATGTCGGTGGCTCTGATTCCTGTTTCAACATGTCAAGCCATCTTTTTGGCACTCTAGTCAACTTATCGGCCAGGTTCCTCTGTGACGTGGTCAGTGTGACGTCAACTACCAAACTATATTCTTCAATTAGCCGCTGTAGGTTAGCCAGTCTCCTGTGCACTAGCATTTTGCTCACATCTTTCGTCCTCACTTGGGTCTTACCTGTTAGGATATTCTGTAGCCATTGGCACATGCATACCGAGTCTGCGTATAGATGTACCACCTTGGCTTGCCACTGTAATGCCAAATTTATACCTTTCAACGTGGCATCCAATTCAGCCAGGTTTATATGTTGCACATCATTTCTTGGTTGAAGCCAGCGCACATCTTCTAGTATAACTCCATGGTTTTCCAGCACCACACCCATTGCCAGGGAGCTTGCATCAATACATGCATTGACTTCTTTCCCAGTCATGCATCAATCTCCCTCAATGGGGTTGTCTTGGTGCACTCTAGTCAGCATTTCAACAATCATCTGCGTAAGAGGAGTGTCTTTTGTAGTGTCATGCCACCCATTTGTTATCATGCTTGCTCATCTTTTTATCATTCCTGTGGCTGCATGGAGCCACCCACAGACAGGAAAGTTCCCCACCAACTTCCCACATATGGAAAATACTGTGCTTCATGTTAGTGTAGCGGGGAGTTCCAGAACTGAACTTCTTCATTTCCACCACAATGAGTTGTGCTCCCCCCCAGAATTTAAGCCCAAGCATAACAGCCCCATCCTTTAATTGAATAGTATCTTTGCTAGACAAGCTGAAGGATTCTAATCTGTGCTTGACTTCATTCACCAAAAGTATGTCCTCGTTTAAATATATGTCATCGACTCTTTTCATTAGCTCATCCTGATCTAGCACTGTCTTAATGATTGATTTCATAATTAGGGGAGCCACATTAAGGCCAAACCCCAAATGCATCAAGCAGTACTTCTCTCTGTTAGGATTAAAATTACTCCAATTCCGCCGCATGCATGGGACGTTCCGTCAATCGTCTTTATCGTCACACATCATTCCTTCCAGGCCTGACAGCAGCTTGCACTGATTATTGAACGGGAACATCCTGTGTCTATGAGAGCCAAACATTGCATGTCATTCACACGTACCCTGACTGGGCAAATCCGTACTTACTGATTGACAGGGGGCAAGGGTGGCAACAGTTCCTTGCCCTGAGTTTGTTTCTCAGACATTTCTGTGCTAGATAGCCCAGATTGTTACAGCAATAGCAACGTGGTTTACTATAATTCCTACTATTATTACTTTGACTCCTGCACTCTCGGGAGAAGTGGTTGGGACCACCACATTGTAGCATTTGGGTCCCTCCTGAGCTATGGGGACACGACATTTGCTGGCAGCATTCTCCTCTGATTTACACTAGGCCTTCTATTAGCCTCAACGCGATGACCAATGCAGGCTCATTGATTTTGAATATTTTGCACCAACAATAGACAGACCAGTGGGGGAGCCATCAAATTCCGGTATTAATTTCAAATTGAATCAATCCATTTTTATCAAAGTACAGCCAAAATAGCTTGTGGTTAATTTAGGTCGCCAGTCATTTGCAATAACTGAAATGGATTAAGGTGCTTGCTTTCAAGCGACTGACGTCTTCCTTCTTCTCTCGTTCTCATTCATCTGTCCGTACGACGTTACGCTAACTGAAGTTTTCTTGATCCTTCTCACAGACTCGCTATTTATGTCTGCGTCGGGGGTAACTAATATTTGCATACAAGACTTAATTCTCGTTAGCACGAGACTTCCTATTTTATAAATTCAAACTAGTTTGAATTTTTAGACTTTTTCATTGTACATCTGCACATGAGATAGGAATTTTGGAATAAACTATTTCACTTTTAATGGCGGTTGCGATCTTTCAACAAGACCTGACACGCCAAGCAGATTCGCTTTCTGGGAGGTGAGTTTTCTCGTTCATCACAATTTTCTTTAAAGTTTTCTCTAGTGAGCAGGCTGATAGATGTAATATACACTGTTTAAAATGAAAATGGGGCGTCTATTTCAGACATGGCTATCCACTAAAAAATAAGGTTTGAAGTATATATATATATATATATATATATATATATATATATATAATTATTTTTATTGTAAGAGATTATAATAAAAATGTTGTAAATTGCCAACACAGTTATCTTTTAGCTTAAAGTATATTTAATATTTTTTTTTAAATTACGTATTACCATTTCTTATAGCCATAATTTATTAGTATATAATGATCCACCCTCTACGGGTAATTACCTTATTTTGTTTATTCAGCTTAAATATTGCTATATATTGCCGTCCAATTAGTATTATTAATATCGTATATAGATGTTCCATATTTTTAATTTTATCTACAGGCCCCTTTAAAAAGCTTCCTGAATGTAAAAAATTTTTTCTGTTAACTTAACCCACCCCTCACTTCAGCAAATTGAACATGTCATATTTGTCTACAATCACATTACATATGTCACTGCCATATTTTCTGCAATAGTCAATGATAACATGTCTATGTTTCAGTTTATCGTGATATAAAAAATAAACCATCTGAGCTTACTTTTCTATTTACTGTAGATCTGTCATTTAATTGGTTAATCAAGACATACCTACAAGCCTATTTTTAATTCTGACCTTATGCTCCCGCCTTTAACTTTTGGAAAAGAGGTAACACCTTGTTTTTAAATTTCCTTAAAAATCATTTAATCACCAGTTACTTACCATCGCCTGAAGAAGTACAATGATAGCATTGAAACATGAAAGCTTTTGTGTAGCGATTTCAAAAATGTTTTTATTATAATCTTTTATAATAAAAATATGATAATAATAATAATAATATATTGCTCTACTTTGTATTGAGCACTTTTTTTAAAAGTAAATGCTACCAACAGTAGATTTTTACTCCATCTGTTCTTTCTCTCATTTGGATATATATATATATATATATATATATATATATATATAAAATTTCATTCTGTAAAAAGACTTCATCAGACTAAAGTTCTGATTGACTGAATTTTATGTGTAGTGGGCAGGGAGAGATGCAAATGTTAGTTATTTCTATGCACCCATGGGAAGTGCTTCAATTGTTTAACATATTCTGATACATAGAAATATATATTATATTCTCCCATATATATATATTGCTTTTACATTTGTGAGAAAAATTTTTGTCTTTACATTTTTTGGTTAACATTATTTAAAATTAGGTGAATTGTGTTTAGGGGGGAGGATGTGAGAGGCAAAAAAGTAGGCAAAAGATTGGGTTAGTTTGACTGAATTTTGTGTTGTGGAACCTTACAACTCACTTTCATATAAGGGAATTTCTGAAAAAGAGTTTTCAAGTTAAACCTGCCTTTCATTTATAACATTCATTGCAACAAGATTCCAAATGATGTTTTCTTATGAAAAGAATGGGGGAGGGGAAAAAACAAGCATTTGGAACTGATCATCTCAAATGAAAATGAAAATGAAACCAAAATGAAATGAAAAGAAATTGATCATTTACAGATAAAGTGTTCAACATGTGCAAATTTTGGTTAAATTATTACTAGACTTGATATAGCATATATCAATGGGAAATGTTTAAAAAAAAATGCCAAATGTCTCCTTGGGAGCTGACCATTTTCAGTTTTGTTGCTAGTAATATTTCAGCTTTTCTCAAGTGTGTTTTGTATACAGTCTTTAAACTTTTCTCAGTATTTATCTTTCTGCTTTTTAGTAGTAAAATACCCTTCCAAAAGAATCTCGTGACTGTGTGTTAAGGTCCTTAGCAAGACATGTTAAGTACAAGTTGTGTAATGAACATAACATTTTAGTATGTATGGGTTTGTTGCAGTTATTATTCTTTTCTCAAATAAAGCTTTTAAAGGTAAATCCTTAAACAATAATTTATATCAAACAAATAATAAGGAAAAATGTATGTGTGTAGTTGGTATATAAAGTGTCTATACCTGAAGGACAATGAAATTGTATCCTGGTTGTTGGTTGGTTGATTTTGTTTAGCAGTATATCAACCTCTATGAATTATTTAATTCCAAAATTTTAGGCATAATTTTATGCTTTCAGGGTAAAGGTATGTTTTAGATATATAGTTTGTTGATCTTAAAATATATTGTTGGAAATTTTACTGTAAAAAAGTATTTTTTAGTGTTGCATAAATTGTCATTTTGCTATGAAAATGTATGTTGATTTTTGTTTGGGGTTTTGCTGTTTGCACATAGCTTGGACCCTAACAGATGCTACCATACTGGATTAGGATGGACCTGGGAACAAAAACATTAAGAGTAGGTTCCATGCTCCTCAAAAGCTCCATTCCCCTTGATCAGAGGTCTTGCTGTAGATGTAGTTTATCGTCATACCCAGGATGATGTCCTGGTTGTGGGAGCTTCATTTTGGGAGTTGTTGACATTTGTCTATGATGACAAAGCAATGAGAAAAGAGTCGAGCTTCATGACCAATGTCCAGAGGCAGAAAAAAAGAGATAGAAAGGAACTTACTGTTTCTTTTTATACACTCTCAGGAGGAATTCTGATTGGCCCTTTCAGAGTCTACCTAATGACTATTTTTGGCCATGGAAGTAAGTGTAACTTGCCAATTTTAATTTCTGCAAAAATCTAGTTTTTTTAAATTTTTATTTTCAGAAAGTGGACGAATCTTCACATTTGGCTCAAATGAATGGGGTCAGTTGGGTCTTGGAGACACTATACCCAGAGATAAACCATGTTGTATTAAGGGTGAGTAAAATAAATTGCCTAAAACTCTGAGAAAACTTTTTTCCGATGGGTAGCATGGTGTGTGTTGTTTTAAACTCAGTTTAGCTGGTCAGTTTTCATCAGTTGATCATCATGACCAGTAAATTTGTTAGTTCCTTTCTTGGAATCTGTGATGCCTTTCTAATTTATCCAATTAAATTTTGGACTTAAATTTTAGGTGAATTGAGTTTCTTATTTGGTGCTATCATTATTTCCAAGAAACCATGTGAACGAGTGAAGCATGTGGGTCTTGGTGAAGACCACCCTTCTTCAAACATTGTATAAAAGTATATAATTATGTACCAAATAACAGAAACCACATCAGTTGAGGACTTACAACAGCAGCAACAACTAAAATGGATAGCACATGTAAGTTGAAGAGAAAATAATAACTTAATCAAGAATTTGACTTTCCACACTACTTCAAACAAAAGGTTAAGAAGAAAAATCCCATCAATCCAAGAAAGAGCAATAACAGCTACTGGACTTGATTTCCTGTGAAATTGTTTTAAGAGAAATATTTTATAAATTTTAACCAAAAGCAGTACTGGCTGCTCGGTCATTGAATGCTGAATGTTTTCTTGTAGGGAAACGACTGATATTACCATTACCATATTCCAGCTTCTCAGGAATATAAAATGTCATCTCTGAATATTCCATTGAAACAAAGAAACAGAGTAAAACAAACAACCATTTGATATTCTGTATCCAAAATTCCATTTTATTCATTTAGTATTCTTCTGATCTGATGTACTTTTAACATTTTTCTGTTTTACCTTATATTGAAAGACAAAAAAGAAAAATCAAGGGTAACCTGACTCTGGTCTACAAATCAGCAATTCCATAGTTAGCTTGTGTCACTTACAAGCAAATAATAAGTAAACTTACCATGCCTCACTAATACTGCTGAAGAACTGATGAGTACTTTTCTATAATTTATTATTACTTTATAATACTAAATCATTATATTTTCCTTACAGAGATCATCTAAAGCAAGAGTTCCCAACCTTTTATTCATCATCGTCCACTTTCACATGGAAAAATTTCCCATTGTCCACCTGTATAGTAAATATTCAAAAGCATACCAAATTTGTTTGGTAAAAGTTTGTTACTGGTTCGTAAAGAAACTTCATTTATATAATTTAGTTTTATGGCCACAGTTAGTATTGCAAGTGTTGACAGAATTTAAATGGTTCTTGTTAATAATTATAAAATTAAGAAGAATATACCCTATTAGCAACTAATCAAAAGTCAGCAAACATTTTTTGTTGTTCTTGGTCTTACCTCATCTGATTTATATTTGAAAAGAATGTTATTTTGTCTGAAGAACTATTTGAATGTTAATGACCCTTCTCAAAACTATAGAAAATACCAAAATATTCTTTGTTTTGTAGGGTATTTAGATCTTATCTAGGAATGTGACAGTTATTAATATTTAGTCTCCTGTTTTTTTTTTTATCTTTATACAGGTTCTTTGTATATTTCCTTTGAATATTTATTTTTGAGTTGCATATGTTAAAATACATTTTTAATACTCAAAATCCTATATAGCACACCAAAATTTCCAATTATTCACCATTTTCTGTCCAGTTGTGCATTGCTAGCCCAACCGTTGAAATCACTCACCAGTGGGTGTTATCACCCAGTTTGAGAAACCCTTATCTAAAATATCTCAAATTATTATCTTGTATCAAAATACTTTTGTCTTAATCAGCTTTTGGCCTGTAATTGATACAAATATTTGTTCTCAAAGACTCAGGACAAATTTTGAAGTAGTTTTCAAATGCCAGAAAAGATTATATGTCACATAGACAAGGCAGATTTTACAAGTACAAAGTTGGTCATAAGAGATAAAATTACTTTTTTACTGATTTAAAAAAAATGTAATTCCTTTTGTTTGTCAGTTTTTCAAAAAGCACTTCTAACATCCATGAATGTGACCCTAAGGTTTATTCACCCATGCTCTACCACTGAGCTTTCTTTCATGCTTACCATTTTATAGAGTAACTTTAAATTTTTATTTACTTTAACATGAAAGGGGTGATAAATTGTATTTATCTCAGCAGATGCCATATTTACCAGCACTGAACAAGCACTGTTTTCCAAGAGACACACCTAATATATCCGGATAAATTTTGTTCCCTTCCCTTTAATATGTATGAATTGTCTTGATTTCTTGGGAAAGATAACTGAGTGGTTTGCTGATGCTTTCTCCATGTTTCAGAATTTAGGGTGGAAAAGGGCTGGATTCATGTCTTTCTCAAGAACATTTGTGCAAAGAGAATGCAACAGATTAAACTGGAATTTGAACTTGGCTCATCAATTCCATTTTACATACTGGTAACCATTAGGGCATGGTTACATCCAGTAAGTAGATATGTAAAAAGGAATTTTGTTTTGTTTATATTCTGTTTTTGTTTTTATCTTTGTAGATCTAAAGAAAGAAAAAGTTGTCTTAGTAGCTTGTGGTAGGTCCCACACTATTGTCACAACAGGTGAGGTAATTTTCCTTATAGTCAGTTTACTAATATATATATATATAGTGAAGAAATTTTGGGGTGGGATTTAAAGTAATCATATAATCTTCAACAGAATGCAGAAAGCATTGGACTGCTGTTTCGCCCTATTTGGGACTCATCAGCAGTGCACATCTACTGAGAATCGAACCTGAACCATTTCATTACCATGCAAATGTCATACCAACTATACCATGGGCCTTGGTGAGGAAGATGACATAGACTAGACTCGATATAGTGCTACTACTCACTCAGTTCTGCAGCGATACTCATCCAAGTATACAGATAATCCCGGAACAGTGCCCCAAGAGCCATGTCTACTTATTAAAACTTAGCCGCTCCTCCACGAGCATTAGCTGGGTCAAACAAGATATATATATATATATATATTCATATTTCACTCTCTCTCTATATATATATATTCACTATATATATATATATATATATATATATATATATATATATATAACTAGACTCATTTCGAAAAACCCTCAATTTTTGATTTGCTAATAATCAAATCAATTTCGAGGGGAAAAAAGGTTTTAAAAAAAAAAAAAACTACGAACATGAACTTCTGCTGACAAAAAATCGCACAGATGCAGGTCTGAAGCCCAAAGAAAAAAACCCTGATACGAGTAAACAACTAACAAAAGCGCTCAATATAACCGTAGAGCAGACCTAGATATGTATCTATATATATATATATATATATATATATATATATATATATATATATATAGTGAATGGAGATTGTTTGGTAAGGGACATTCTTTATGAAGCTAAGGTGATTAGTGGTGGAGAGACAAAATACTATATAGGAGTTGTTGAGGGTGAATGGAAAAGACTATTCTACAACCATAAAATGAGTTTCAACAACATAAAATACAACAGTAGTACTGTTCTCTCTACCTACTATTTGAATGTCGTAAACAGCAGAAAAGAAGTACCTACCATCACATGAAAAGTGCCAACTAAATCCAGACCATATAACGGAGTTTGTAAAGGTTTTAATTTGTGCCTGACTGAAAAATTGATAATCCTGCAATGAATGGTTGTCTGGCTGTTGAATAAGACAAGTGAGCATATGGCCACAGGTGGGCACAATAATAAATATTTACTTAAAAATACACATCCGGTGTAGGAGTTAACTGCCACCCCTGCGGTATATGTTAAATGATAGTTTGGTCCCATATTGTTTCCACCTGATCACTGAGTAACAGATTTTAGTATTATTGAATTAATAATATTATATGTATTAAAATTATTAAACATATATATAAGACAGGACATCCAATGTAGACCTGTTTAACAGGTGTAATATTGGAGGAATCATACAGTTTTAGTTGTGATGGACTGGTCATGTCTTGAGAATGTCTGATGACAAGATACCCAAGATCCTAATGTACGGCCAGTTAGATCAGGGCAACAGGAATGTAGGATGCCCATAGCTTAGATACAAAGACAAGCTGAAGAGCAGCTGTCAATATACCTCATAACACCCTTGATCACTTAGCCTTGGAGTGGGTAGAGTGGAGATCAGCATGTTTTAGTGGACTCAGCGGTGTGTGTGTGTGTGTGTGTGTGTGTGTGTATATATATATATATATATATATATATATATATATATATATATAATTCGACAATAACACCATTTACTCACTTTCGTTTATTAGGCATTAAATTACATCACTGAGCATCCTCCATAACTGATCTTAACTTTCAGTTCACCTAAAGTACATTTATGAGCAATCTTAGATTTAAATTTAAAAATTCTGAAAAACTTTTTTACTTCTGTTTATGCTTGTTGCAAAATAAAAATCCTTACATTTGCTTTGATGAAGTCCATCAGATTATGAAAAGGTGTCGGCAAATATAAGGTTTCTTTTTGTCTTTATTCAGATTGTGTTTTCACAGATATAGTTTAGTTATATCTGAATTTATATCTATATATTTTTATATATATTAATTAGGACTTAATTTTTATTGAATGTTGGTACTTGTTTTGGGATTTTTATTCCCTTCATCTGCCAAAGATCTAATTTTTCAGCTCAAATACAAGTGTGAAATTGACAGTTGTAACTTGGAATGTGAAAATAATTCAGTAATTCAAAATTCTAAGAGAGGAAGAGGAAGAAGAAGAGAAAAATGGAAAATGGTGGGATTATCAGATTGGAACAAAAGTTCTGCTTGACTTTATTGCGTCTATTACAAATGAAGATACTAATGCTTATAGAAATATTTAATCATCAGTATAACCTCCATTGTCTCCTAGAAGCTTATTCCATCTGTCAATAGATGTTTATAGATGCCATGTTTGTAAAATTCTTGAGGTTTTGATGTAAAATATGAGACCAACTCATATTCAATGTCTTCTCTTGATGTTAACCTTTTTCCAAATAAACTCCACAATTATCATGATGGACAGTTATTCCCTTTCTGTTGACTAAGGATGAATGTTTTTTGAGCAAAGCTGCTTTCAAATGACAATGTTATTGGTAGTAGAAATGCATTGGCTGCTTAAGTGCGCTGGATGCATTTTTCTGCTGCACCTGTGTTGACACCTTTATGAAACTCATAGAGTACAACATTTCTAATGTGTTCTTTAGTCAGGTTGAACATAGGGTAAGTTCTGAACTATATTATTTTTTAATATACACAATGAACACATAGAGAAGGTATTACATTTTCTTTTGTTTGATTGGAGGATTAACATGAATGAAAATAAGAGTGATTAGACTCGGTTCCAGGTGTGTGTTTGCCTTAGTGTGCATGTATATATATATATCAGTTAGGAAAAATAAAAATCGTTACTTATGATTTCAAACTGAGTGCTTCGCCATATTCACCAGTTACTGTGTTTGCATCCTTTTTATGAAAGAGCATAGATTGCTGGTGAACCAGAATTTATCGTTGATTGGACTATAAATTGCTAAGATGAATTGCAGTGTGTGATTAAAAGTTGAGGAAAAGTGAGGAAAGTTGTAGCTGACAGCACACAAGTCGATACCAGATCAGTATCGGCTGGGTCACTGTTGAGAAGGGGGTATGATGTTGAAAGGCTCAAAACCCCTAATTAACCCCGGCTAAAAACATCACTGATGATGTGTGCCAAAACATCAAACTGACACAAAATGAATTATATTCTTATAAACTGAAAGAAAAAGATATAAATTATTCATTACTAGCATTAGTGTAAGAAATTTTGTTAAGAATTTTCACCTCAAAAATTGGACAGAACTTCTATTCCAATCTGATAGCACACAATATGGTGGTTGTAATTTTATGTAACTATTTTTACATCCTCAATACTATCAATTAAGATTTAAATTATTTATTTCAATAAGATTTCTTTTTAGCTGTCTAGAACCCTTTATGGTGTGTTCACCTTGTCTATGTTTAAGAATAAATTACAATTTTGTTTACTTTGATTGTTATTTGACAAATGTTTATAAATTCAGGAAATTTTGTCCACAACCAGATGTTCCATTGCCGGTTCATGGAATTGGTGAGGTCTCACCAATATAACTAACTTTACAGTCAGTGCATTCAAATTTATAAATTCTGAATTATCAATTCATGTTCTATAACAATTTTGAATTATTGGCCATTACAAGTCTGTAAAGCACTTTGGCATTTGAATTTAAAAACAGTATCAGTATAAATCTTTGGTTGATGAAGGGAATAGAAATCCTGAATCATGTACCAACATTCAATAAACTATATGCTCTAATGTTGTTTACATTGTATCAATTGCAGAGTTCAGTAATTTTTTTATTTCAAATATATATATATATATATATATATATATATATATATATATATATATATGTGTGTGTGTGTTTAATTGCTAGATCATCCACAGTAAATTTACGTCCAGGTTTTTACAACATTTTACCTTTCATGGCAGATCTTCTATTATCACATTGTGGGATATTTAATAACAAAAGTGATAAACAACATAAAAATAAAAAAATAAATCAGCTAGACTATATACCCAAACATATATTTAAAAAATAAAAAAAAATAAAAATAAAATTTTAAATTCTCAGCATCCCCTTTTCTTTGGGTGCATGTCTAGCTGCATCAATGTAAACATCACTTTAATCTGATGAAGTCTTAAAAGACGAAATGTGTCACATGAAAACGTTTTCCAGTTTGTCATAGGATTTTTTTCCTTAAAATTGTACTGAGGTCAACACCAAGCAGTGACAGCCTGTTTCAATCTTCAGGCTATGTGTGTGTTGTGTTTAGGCTTGGCCAAAGTATTTGTTTATTTTTTTTATATATCTGATATTGAGCACTTTTACCCATAAATATAGCATACCTTAAAACTACATTTTATAATATATATATGCATATATATATATATATATATATATTAGTGATAGAATTGAATTTTGGGAGATTAGAATAATCATTGAGTCTAGAAGAATCCTCAGCCAAATGATGTAATGCTGTCCAGTGCTTTCTACATTCTGTTGAGGATTCTTCTAGACTCAATGAATTACTATAAATGATTATTCTAATCCCCCAAATTTCTATCACTTGACCTATCTAGTGCTCTGTGATCAAATGGCTAAGGAGAAGGGAGATGTTGATCTTGGGGCACATCCCGTTGAGTTATGAAAACTCGGATGAGTATCACCATGGAATTTGTGAGTGGCAGTGCTATATCAGTTTCTTCTTTATCACCGAGGCCCATTGGTTCAGTGGTAAGACACTTGGATTGTATCATAACGGTTGAGGTTCAATTCTCAGTAGTGGATGCACACTGCTGATGAGACCCAAATAGGATGAAACAGCCATTAAGTGCTTTCTGCATTCTGCTTTTTCTTCTAAACTCAATGAATTAATATGATGAATATATATATATATATATATATAATATTTATGAAAACAATTTTTTATTCATAAATTTATAAACAGTTACTAAATTATTAAAATATAAGAACCAACTCTAAGGAAATCCTTATTATTTATCATTATATAAAGTTTGAATCAATTGGCAATTAGCTAATGTTTTGACAACCATTCCAATAAATAATATCAATAAATAGTGTTTATTATTTTTATTGTCATTTCTCAAAAAGAAGAAAATGCATAAATTCACTTTCATGTTTAGGTTTTATTACAATTCTAATCATCAAGAAACATTGCCAAGGAGCAAAGTTTGGTTGAAGATCAAGGAAAGTTGTGTCATTCAATGAAATCTGCATAAATAAAATTTTGCTGCCTTGATATGCCATACATGTACAAAAATTGCCATGAATGTTTGTGAAAGATAGTGGAGTGGTTTCCTCATTGCCAGTTTGGAATTTAGTATTCCTTCTCTTAGACTGGTAGCTGCCTAAAGTTAGTCTACTCAGTCTGCTATATAATCTATAGCCGGAGAGGAGAAGAGATAAATTCAAACCTTTCCCAAAGGCATTTGTGTGAAAGGGAATGGAAAAGACTAAGTCAGAGTTTGAACTTGGCTTGCCAATTTCGCTTTCTTCATGCATATTGATCAGCCAATACTGCACTTTAAATTTTACCAACACTAAAAATTTAATTAATTACTTTGTCCCAAACTCTTTGCCTTTATTTTAGTTTAATAAATTATATTTCTTCTGTGTTTTTTTTTTTGTTGTAGAGTCTGGTCAGTTGTACACATTTGGTTCCAATGGGGAAGGTCAGCTTGGAGTGAAAGATATTGACAAACACATAACTCCCGTTCAGGTGGACAGCTTCCCTCCAAATAGCAAATACAAAATGGTGGCTGCTGGAGTTGATCATTCTGTTTGTCTCACAGGTAAAGGCACCAACTGAATGTTCAGCAAAGATTCTATTTCTTTCTTCCCCATAACCAGTTTTCCACAAAGGAAACAAGTTTCATCTCTTTTGAAAGGAACCTAATGTGTTTATTTACAGGAAATGGTGATGTTTATGTTTGGGGTGGCAACAGTGAAGGACAGTTAGGGACTGGCAGCAATGAAGATAACCCTGTCCCCACCTTGTTGTCCGTAGGGGAGCCCGTAGTTAGCATAGCTGTTGGCTATTATCATACTGCACTGTTGACAAGTAAGTAAGAGATTTTTACTTTATTATCACTGAACACATCATTTTGCTAATTTCTATCTGACAGTTAATTTTGATGTCATGTTAATGCAGGTTTTGAATATAAGAATAGTATCCACAACAGAAGGGTAAAACATTCTCCTCAAAGGGGCTACCATTCAGATAGCAGTCTCAGGTATAAACCTGATTTATGTCTACATGTATGACTCTTATGTAAACTGGATATTTGTCTACCTACTGTATTTTCTGCTTATAAGACACATTCTTCTTATATATAAAGTACAGTGTATATGTGTGTATGTTTATGCATGTGTGTGTCCAAGCAACTCCTCTGCTGCCACTGGTCTGATTTCAATGATTCTGTTGTAGCATACCTACAAACGATAATGGGTATGTCCTCATTCACATAAATACAGCAGTAAAAACTGTATGTTGGTCTGCAGTTGGAGATTCATTGTGGTTCACTTGACTCACTTCTAGCAGTTGACTACTTCTTCTCTGCGCTGCTGGTGAATCTTATGTGTGTTGTTCATGTCCTAAGTATTATCGTTCATTACCAACCTTCATTTGACTATTCTATTCAGTAACCTTAGTTATAACAGATTCATAGCTCATTCAAAAGCCCTTAGGCAGGGTTAGGCGCAGGGAATAATTTTCGTTGAGCTCAGATTCAGGGTTGCCAGATTATGCGAGTTATAAAAATATATATTAATATATTATACTAGCCATTATCATTGCTTTCATGTTTCAAGAGGAGTAACTCCTATTTTCCGTTTGTATCCAAAATTGTAGTGTATTTTTCAAATTTGTCATCTTTAAACTATTGCTTGTTTCACACCATGCATCATTGTTTATTGAATGATCTCAAAAGATTCCTTAAAATTCATTAAATCATAAGAGGTAATACACAATTTAGGTGATGCAAGGTCAGGGAAAGGCAGGAAATACCTTGGTGACTGAATAATGATGTTATGAATTTTTATGAATAAAATGGTTTGTTAAGAGAAAAAAAAATGCTGGTAACATTTGCATCAGTGTATCATGTCATTAGTATGTAAATGCTTTGACTTATTTATCCTTCTGTCTTTTTAATGCCAATTTCTTTTTCCAGAAACTGGATTGGTGTTTGTGTTTGGTGAGGTGGATAGTGGAAAGCTTGGACTTGGGAATGATATTTGCAATTGCCGACAACCCCAGAAACTGTTGCTCAAGGGTGAGCAGATTCAAGCTCTATCATGTGGTGGATCTCACACTGTCTTGCTGACTGGTAAGCCACTCATTTCATGGAGTTCACTTTATCTGTCTCTCTCTTCCTTGATTCCTTTTTGTGAGATTTGCTAACTCAAATAGTTTTTTTAGCTAATTAAATAAAATAAAACTCATTTTCATTTAGACATTTCAGAAAACTTTCTTTTCAACAGTTCAAGTCCTTTGATCAAATATTTTTATCATTTACACTATTTACTTTGTTTAGACTGTTGTCCTCATCTTTATTATTATATTCACAACATTTCAGCCTTTGTAGTCTCTGGCCTTCTTCAGGTGATATATATTGAAATTTTGAACCAAACCCTTTATTTAGTCCACAGAACTAGATTGTTCTAATTCCACATGCCATGTTTTTCTGGATATCTCAGTTTCAGTTAATTCCCTTTAGTAACTCAATACTCCAAGTTTTTGTGCACCTCTGCTGTGATCAGGTATTGAACTCACACCTCTTTGGGTAAAGTCACTGGATTACTTCAACCAACACTGGGCCATGTGTCCCTGGGGACATCAGTGTATGGATTTTTGGGATTTATAAATCTAATGTTTTGGTAACCATTTTTACCAGAGCTCATATTACAACATATATCACATGAAAAAGGATGGAGCATATGACAGCCGAAACATTGTGAATATGACAATAAAGTTGAGGACAACATTCTGAACAATGTAAAATGTGTAAATAGTTACAATACTTCATCTCAGAAATATACAGAGATTTTTTATTGTGACACCAGCTGTTGGCCCGTGGTCAATTTGACTCAGTTGCGGCGCGAAGCTGTAATGTTTCTTCTGCCCCCGTTTTGGGGTTGACTCTTTGTTGCTGCCACCAGCCTGTGTCCCGGTCGATTGGTGGTCATCGCTATTTGGCAAAATTCCCTGGTCAGAATACCAATATGGGACAATGGCCTGTCCATGGTCAAAGTCTGGTCATAGATGTTAACAGCTTCACCAGCTGTATGGGTTCAATACCAATTCTATCATTCCCAGCTCACTTGCAATGTCTGGTTACTAGAGTAACTGCATCGATCTCAAGTCTAACCTACCCACATTGTGACTTTGATCTTAGGTAGATGAGATCAATCAGGCATTGGGCCATAGTGTAAGCTGAGTCCAGATTGAAGGTGGTATCGCACAAGTGCAAAGAAGAAATAAAAATAAATAATGAAAAAACCAAAGTGGTTCAAGTATGTTAAGAAATAACAATTTAACTTTATCCTCCTGTTATATACAGGAGTGTGTTTTTCTCCCAGCCGGTTTCCTATGAAATGTGACACTTTTACGCTTCTTAGGCAAGTTCTGGTCCTCTAAGTCAACTGGTTTAGTTTTAGATGTTGGTTTGGCTTCATTCATCAGTATAACTTGCTATTGGTAGGATAGGCGAAGTCAGAGGTCATGGAATCTCTCGGTCAGCTTCTGCGAGGCAACACTCTGGTTAAGCTCTGACTCTAATTGCAACTCAACTTGAACTCAACTGGAACTAACTGCTGAATGACCACAGGATGTTCATTTATATGGGTACCGACCAAAACCCGGTGTGGGCCAGACGTGGCCTGGGGTTCTCGGTAAATCTCGATTTCTAACAAGAAATCTCTTTGTCAGACCAGGAAAATTGATTACTTCCCATTTTTGGAAAATTAATCACTTTTCATTTCAGGGGGTTCTCCATCCTCCACGAGGGAAGGTCGGAGGAGAGTTATCCTCCTAGACTCTTTCTCTCTCACATTGATATCTCATACCAATCCCTTCAAGGGGTGTTAAGAACTTCTCTGCCTTTCTCATCCATTCACCTCTGCCTATCACCCATGCTACCACACGACCAATGGCATTCCGGCAGTGTGGGTGTGTCTAAGCTGGCCTCCTTAAAATTATAATTTAGAATTTTTGTTTACAAAATTCTCCTTAACCATTGGCAAAAATTTTTATGAATTCCACATTGCCAATTAAATTTTTATCATATCTTCTCTTTTCTCTGGGCCACCCAAAAGTCACTTAGCCAGCAGTCTTTACCAACTCATCAATCATTGTCAATGTTTGCCATCTGGTCCTTACATTAAGTTAGCTTTACAATGGAATCCTTGACTTGTTAAGAAATTAAATTGTTTCATCTCACCAAATCTCAATTCTCCACTCTATTTTCTATCTCATGCCAAAATTTTACAATTGCCACATTGCTATTCCATGTCTTAGTGTCTGTTGGTAAAGTAAATGATAACAATCCTCTCTATCCTATATCGAGACAATGCCAAAATTTTATAATTGCCACATTGCTTCGCTTCACCTGTATCCAAAAAAAAAAAAACAATATCTTGAAAAGATAATTAACATTGATTCCCCATGCCTGTATCAGCATTCGTCTCAAGCCAAATGGTCTGGCCGATATCTTAATATTTGCCTTTCTTTCTATCTCCCTCGGTGAGACATAAATCAACCTGACAAGACCTTACACATAGCTTCTTCTGCGGCCTTTACTGTCTTTTGTGAAAAGTATCTTTTTTCATAAATAGAATTAAAATCTTTTTTTTTCATCCATCAGTCTGTCTTTCGAGATAGCTCTTTTTCACTTTAAGAATGTCTATTTTCTGTTTTAATTTCTATGGTTAATTAGTTAGCCAATTACCATAGCTAAATAGTGTCACATTATCATATTTAATATTTGTATTTTTACGATCAATCATTTATCTTGTAACCAATCCAGTCAACAGATACAAGCCCTGACCTTATTTAAATCTGAGCAAAATTTGATCAAACATTTTTTCACATTTGATCACCCCATTCACCAGGCACAAGTCCTTTTGTTTGATCTTCATTTAATCTGATCCAGATTTGATCAAAACATCAGCATTTAATATTTGTTTGTGTTTCTAGCAGTGTTTGGTAAGTTGTTGCAGAATGGAAAAAAATATTGTTTTTACAACTTCTGGGGTCATTTTTCTGGGTTAGAAAAAGACACAAGACATGGTATTTAAACAAACAAGAATTAATAAATGTATTAACAAAACCAAAACATGTTTACAGAAAAGTAAGGAATGAATGAATTCATTGAAGTTACTGATAATTCAACACCATCTTTAGTCTCTGAAGTATTTACATGCCACATATTTTATGAGAGTGAGAAAACCATGTCATTCTGAAATTATAGGGAAAAGAGAACAAGCCATTCAAAAATTAAGCTGCCTTTAGTCAGGGGTCATAATCGAACAAAGTAAAACCCTTGGAAGGTGTATAAGTTGGTCAGACCTATAGCATTTGATAATTCACCCAAACATATAGTACAAGAAGCTTTTGCTTTGACCATATATGGTGAGATACAAAAATACCATATATTTGTGAGATACAAAATTTACTGAAATAATTTCATGTAGTTTTTCTTTTTGTTCATGTTTCCATCACTTTTGTTATTAAATATCCCACATTGTGATAATAGAAGATCTGCCAAGAAAGCTGAAATGTAAGGATCTGGATGTAAATTTACTGTGGATGATCTAGCAGTTAAAGCACTTTCTATACATTTTCATGTTAGTAAATAACATTCTTTGTAATGTTAAAGGAATTTTAAAAATCCAAGTTATGGTCAAACCCATTACACTGAGCAACAAATGCACTGAGTGTGTTGTTTTGTAAAAGATCCCTTTTGTGTTCATATAATCTTTTATTTAAATTCCTTGACATTTCCCCCATGTCTTCCTTGTGGCAATTCAATGTACAATCCAATAAGCAATCAAAACAAGAGTAAAAAAAAAAAGTGAAAATCCCTTGCAAGGCTTAAGAGCCATTGTCGATCACATAATTTATTGGTCACTTGTAAATACTTCACTGATTTTATTTAAATTATTTTTATTCTGTAACAAAATAATTGATATTTTTTAAATTTTTTAGCATAATATTTTAATTTGTACATAGTAATTTATTTTGCCTATAATTTTAATCAAATGTATTTTTGTGACATACATTTATAATTTGGTGTAAAATTAGTTTAACAGTGTAAATTCTTAATGCCAATATATATGTATGTATGTGTGTATGTGGGCGTGTATTATCAGCAACATTTGTATTTTTCTGATTTCAGTTGGTGGGTGTGACACCATGTCCCTTGTGGATAAGATGAGACTACTCTAGTTTTGTCTCATTTTATTATTTTGTTTTCCTGATGTAAAATTTATAATTTATATTTGCATCAAATATTGAGTGTCAAAGTATGTTTTTTTTTTTAACCTTAGACTTTTCAGATATTCTGTAAAACTTGAGAATTTAGGCATATCTCAAAATGCGTTAAATGATAAAAAGTATCTGAAGAATTGCCTGTAATTTGTTCATATGGAAAAGAGACCAATATTGGAGTCTTGTGGAGTTATCAAAAAATTGTCTTTGTTAAATATGTATCTAATAGGCCATCAAATGTGTTTGATATTTAAGGTTACCATGAAATGATTGGATTTGGCTATTGAAGGTTGCTACAAAAAGATTGTGTTTAGCAACTAATGGTTACCTGAAAATAATTGTATTTGATAATTGATGGTTGCCTTGGAATAATTGTATTTGGTAAATGAAAGTTGCCTAGAAACAATGTGTTTCAGAATAAAAAAGAAAAACCTCATTTACAGATCAGAAAGAAGTCTACACTTGTGGAAATGGAGAAAATGGTCAACTTGGTCATGGACCATCCAAGCAACAACTTTCAGTCCCAGAGAAATTAAATCTTCCTTTCAAAGTGACTGCCATTTGCTGTGGGGAAAACCACACGGCCCTCCTCTCAGGTAAAAATTAAATAACTTCCTTCTTTTTTTATTTTCTTAGTAAATTCATTGGTATTTGTGACATTGTCAGCACTAGAGTTATGGCCAATAAATGAAAGCCACTAATTCATGATATGCCTTGTCTATAGGTTGGCTCTTGTTTTCAGATTATATATCCCATAAATCCACACATCTTTCTATGTTTCAGTGTAAAGTATTGTAAGGATAAATGGTTTATATTTTCACCTTTGGTGCTTCACTTTCACAAACCCTAAAATTCTTGTGTTCACTACTAGATTTTTCTGAAATATTTTTATGTAATAAAATCTGGTAGGTTTATCCAAAAACAAGAGTCAACCTGTAGACAAAGCATATGAATTAATGGTTTTCTTTTATTGGCCATAACACTAGAGTAGACAACCAATTGTATTTGATAATCAATTATTGCCTTGAAATAATTATATTTGGTATTTACATAGAAACATATTAAAATATATTTTTAGACTCAATGATTCCATTATTGTCCTCTTTTCTCAACAACATTTTCTCTCACTTTCTTCACCCCTTGCATCTTAGTGACTTTTATTGCCTTACTTGGGGTGAAATGATAAAATGACTTATCCATTTATTCAAAGTAATTTAAAGAGAGAAGTAACTCTTGAAATTTCTAACCATAGATAAGCATTACTTCTTATTTCTGTCTGAATTACCAAAATGAGAAATTATCATTAGAGACTTACTGTTATCCTCATCTTGTTTCAGCCATTTTACTTTTTGGTCTCCTTCTGTATTTGGCAAGATTTGCAGAATTTCAAACTAAACTCTTTATTCAACCTATAAAGAGTAAACTGTTCTCATTCTGGTGTCTACACTAAAATTAATTTTTCACAACATTAAAGAATAGAAATGAACTGGATGTTTAGCCATTGCATGTTTCTTCTCCTAATTTCTGTTTCCAAACTTATTTTCAAATTTTCAGGGAAAATTACTAACTAGATGTGTCTGGTAATACATTTTAAGGTATTACTTAATTTATCATATTTTTCTGTTTGATATGACTTTATTATATTTCTATATATTAATAAACTATGAAAATAAGAAATATTGTTTTTCATTAAGACTGAAGGGAGAAACAAATATAGCCGAGATATCAAATACCTTTTGTAAAAAATTGGTATCAACATCTGCCTACTTTGTATTTTATTTTCTATTGTGCTATCTGAGTGTATTTGCAATCTTGCTGTTTCAAATATGATTTTTTTTAAGCTGAGTAAAAGATTTTCTGAAAATGTATATGACCCCCCCATAACTTTTTACCTTTAATTTTTGTTCAAAATTTCTTGTATTATATACAATATATGGTAATTTGTCTGTATGATGCTCCTTCTTCTCATTTGGCTGGATTCACCTGTACTACATGTAGGGATTGAGCACATAGTAAATGGCAACACTTAATATTTATGTCTAAGGATGTTATGACATTTACCTGAAGAAGGCTGGAAACTAGTATGGCTGAAATGTGCCTATAACAACCAAAATGAAGACAACTGTTCAAATAAATCAGGTCTTCTTATTTTGTTCATTTAAAGCACCTCCCTTATGTTGTATTTTGTGTCATCTCTGGCTTCAATTCTTCAGACCCCAAGACTATATCAAAGTCTGCACCAACAACAGACAATTTCCTTTTCTTATCTTACTTTATTATATGAGGGACAGTAGTTGTAACATCATTTCTAGGAAGAATTGAGATGATTGTAAAAATACATTGGCTAGGATTTCATCGCCACATATTAGCTTGTCTCACTGAGGAATTTGGTGTGGGAGGTGTGTTGACTCTTCAAATTGTTGCAGCCATCTCCCTGTCTTTGTGCTGTTTTTGTCTTATATTAAACCTTAAAAGCAATCCATCACTGTCGGGATTCCATGCCCATGAGGTCTTCTGACCAGTAGTTTGCCATTTTGGGCCAGCCTACACATTCTGTAAAGCTTAATTCAAAATAATGAAAAGAAAATAATTTTGATGTTCCTACTCTTGTGGCTAAAAATAAACAAAGAAATTTCATCTTTTGAATGGGTGGAAAGTCTTTTTTTAAATGCCATATCCTATGAAGATGTAAGCTGATCATGGTTATCTGCAGATTCCTTGTCTTTATTATCTGCAAATTGCCATGACTTCTTGGGAAAGAAAGTAGAATGGTTTGCCATTGCCTTCTCCCTAGATTCCATTTTGTTATTATCTGTGAATTGCCATGACTTCTTGGGAAAGATAATGGAGTGGTTTCCCATTGCATTCTCCACAGTTTTGAATTTAGAGTTTTCCTTCTAGACTGACTGCTACCCACAGCTAGAGAACTTAGTCTACCATGCTATTTAACAATAGGCAGGAGGAAAAAAATGGATTCATGCCTTTTCTCAGTGCATTAGTGTGAAAGGGAATGCAATCAACTTGCTTGTAATTTAAACTCTGCTTGCTAATTCTGCTGTCTTCTTTGATGACATCAGACAGGATTTTACAAGACCATAAATGTAGAACATGTTAAAAAAGAAAGAAAGAAAAGCTCTTGTAGAGCATCAAAACTCTGTCCTCTTGGAAATTTGGATTTTGTTGTAGTATCTATAGATATTTCTTTTCAGTCATCTATTAGAAAGGAACCTCCTATTCACAAGACTTCTTTCTGTTACCAGTGTACTAACTGGGATTCATTTTGTGACTTTCTTCAAAATACACCTTGGACTGATATTTTTAACTTTCCTATTAAGTATTGTGCCACAGAAGTTTCTTCTTGGGTTAAAGCTGGCATTGATGCTTTTGTACCTTCTTACAAATATCAGGTGAAATCAAAATCTTCTTGGTTCACACTGGCCTGTTCAGCCATTATAGCCCACAGGAATCACTTTTTCCAAGTGTACCAGCATGATAATTCTGATCGCAACAGATGTCTATTTGTGTCTGCTAGAAATAATTGTAAACATGCCTGCAAAGAGGTTAACTCTTTCTTTGTGGAAAGAATGAGGCACCATGTACCCTCTAAGAAGTTTGGTTCTCGTGAATACTGGCAGCTCTGAAATAGTGTCTTAAATAAGAGTAAATCTTCTATCCCTCCTCTCTTTATTCAATTTGAGGTGTTATCATCTTCTACTGATAAAGCAGAATGTTTTGCTCATAAGTTCTCTTCAAATTTTACTATTGACTCATTTCTACTTAGAACAAAGTCTCTATTAAGTGACATGCAATAACTCTGTCCATTTTTTTTGACTAATGATTTCTGTTGACATGAAGTTGAAAGATTATATTGAATCAATTGCTACGTCTGCAGCTAGGAAAGACAATTTTTCTTACCAGAATCTATCTTAGATTTTTATAAGTCTACCATTCATCCTTGCTTTGAATATTGCTGCCACATATGGTCTTGTGAATTCTGCTATATATTTAAAGATTCTTGATAAAATCCAAATAAGAATCAGCAATGTTATTGGTCCTGATTTGAAATCTCAGCTTCAGTCCCTTTCCTACTGCCATAATGTAGCTTCCCTGTGTCTTTTCTATAAATACTTTCATGGTAATTATTCTGATGAACTTTCCTCTATGGTACCAAGACTTTATGAATTTAGGCACAGTACTTGATTGGTGGCAAGGCCTCATCATTTTAAAGATGAAATGGCTAGATGTAACTGTAATTTCTATGCCAACAGTTTTTTTCCCTCACATTTCCCACTTGTGGAACTCTCTTCTGACTCCATGCTTGTCAGTTAACTTTGATATTCAAAAATTTCAGTGTAATGTCGATGGTTATCTTCTGAATTCTTGTCCTTTTATTGTCCTCTCTCGTTAATTGTATATTTTTCTCATATTCTCTAACAATCAGTAATCTCTTGCATCTTAGTGGCTTTATTGCCTTGTTTGAGGTGAAATGATTTTAAAAGTGACTCTCCAGGGATCCTCCTCCTTAATATCTGTGAATTGTGATGCATTCTTAGGAAAGAGTGGTTTCCTGTTGTCTTCTCCCTAGTTTGGAATTCTGAATTTCTCTTAGACTGCTTACCCTCTAAAGGGTAAGCAGTCTAAGAGACTCAATCTTCCCAGCTATTTAACCTATAGCTGGAAAGTGAAGAGATAAATTCATGTCTTTTTCAAAGGCATTTGTGTGAAAGTGAATGCAACAGACTCGGTTCACTGATTCTATTTTCCACTCCACTAATATGAGAATGTTACAAGAACATAAATGTGAAACATTTTATTTAAAAAAAGAAAGAAATTGAATGGTAAAAGAAGGAAAGAATGAAAAAAAAAGGAAAGAAGAATGAATGGAAAAAGAAATAAGGAATGAAGTAAAAACAGAACAAAAAGAAGGAAAGTAAAAAAAAAAAGAAAGAATAGAAAAAGGAAGAAAGAAGAGAGGAAGGAAAGAAAAAGAATTGAAGGAAGAAATCTAAGAACAAATGAATGTGGCCTGAAAGTATTAATAATTAATATTTTCTTTTTTGTGGGGCAACACCATTTTATCTTATATATGTTCTTTTGTGAATAAAATAATGTGTTATATGGTTATTTTGTTACAGGTTGAAAAAACATTTAATTTTTTACTAATGGAAGTTGCTATAGTTTTAGATGAAAAAGAAAAAGATTTATTTGAGTTTTTTTTTCTTTTATGACTTCTGACTGCAGATGATGGCTACCTGTACACATGTGGAGATGGAAGACATGGCAAGCTTGGTCAAGGAAAAGACAGTTACTCCAATCAGTTCCAGCCATCTCGGCTTCATAGATTCGATCCATTCATTGTTGACAAGGTCAGTAGTAAGATTTCCTGTGCCATGAAAAAGTTTCATTATTTTTATTCTTTCTCTTTGCGGCTGAATTTATTCCATGACTTTTGACTCCCCAACAATTTGATAGATTTTGTTTTAGCTTGAATTCTTATTCAGTTTGAAAATGTCTTCCTCTGATGGCATTATTTGTAGTTTATAGTTTGGAGGAAATTTCATATTATGGGTAGTATATATATATATATATATATATATATATATATATATATATATATATATATGGTGAGCTGGTACAAGTTAATCAACCTGTTCATAAGTCCCAAAAACATTTCAAGGATGTAGTTAAATGTAACCTAAAGACTCTTGGCTATGTTGAAGACTGGGAAACTGTTGCTGGATATAGATCTTGGACATCAATTGCCAGTCTTGTACACCACACACAAATGTCTTTCAGCATGCAAACATAGCCAGCATAGAGAAAACTACTGGACAGGTCATCTGACATATATGGAGGATGACAGATTGCTTAAAAGACTTTTTTGGGGTGAGCTGGTACAAGGTAATCGACCTGTTCATAAGTCCCCAAAACGTTTTAAGGACATAGTTAAATGTAACCTAATGACTCTTGACGTTCATGTTGAAAACTGGGAAACTGTTGCTGCAGATAGATCTGGCTGGGAAAGGTTGATTTGGGAATTCTGCAACAATTTTGAGAAGAAGAGAATTGTGCATTCCAACAAGAAGTGTGCCATTAGAAAGGGAGAAACAGAATCTGTTCCAGAGCAGGACACCAACAAAACTGGCAGTATTTGTGGAAAAGTCACCCTTTTGGTGGCTGGTTTAGCCAGTAGCATGACATCACAGCAGAGAGGTCAGGTGCAAACTCCTGTGAATGCAACCTGCAGGTTACTTGTGTGAGTTTTGTGACAAGGTTTTGTAAGTCTGTTGCAGGACTCAAATGTCACAGGATTGTACACAGGGACAGGCAAGTTTCCAACATAAGTAACAGAAACAAATTTTATGTTTGCCACTTGTGTAAGAGAGATTGTAAAAGTGAAGCTGCTCTTAAGAATCACTTACAGGCCCATAGCAGAGTGTTAGCTTGAGATGATGAAAATAAAATTCTCAATGAAAAACACAAAAAAGCTACCAAGTGAAGAGTTGGTCTTCTGAAAAAAGTGACAAACATCATTATATATATATATATATATGAGCTTGCAGTGACTCTGTTCATGCTATCTATCTGATATGCAATTATGTTAATTTTCTTTATAACTCTAGTAATAATAATTAACAATTTATAAAATAACTTATATAGCAATGATTTTTAAAATAAATTCACACATCCTAGGTATAAATAAAGATTTAGGCATACTCAATGAATAGTTCCCCCAAAAAGCCATCTACAAACCGTCCACAATTCTAATTGTGGCAAACAACTAGCCTCAAAACTAGTAGATTTCATCAGTAAAATATAAAACATGTGGACAAAAAAAAATCCCCCCACCCCAAATGTCCAACTACATAATCGTGCTTTTGAACACATACCTTCCAAATTCTCGAAAGATACATATCTGCTCTGTTTTGTATCCTGACATAAATAAAGACAATTTTTTAGGAAAGGGTTTAAATCTGACAAATTTTTAATTTATTTGTTTAAATGTTATTTTTTAAATGGATACTCATTTGTTTGATCAGGATTTCACATACATTTTTAAAATAACTTCTGATATTCTAGGTTTAAGTAGGAATTCAGGCATACTTAATGAATATGGTATCCACAAGAAGTCTTCTGCAAACCCTCCACAACCCAAATCATGGCAAACAACTGACTCCAAACTACTAGATTTCATCAGTAATTTAAAACTTAAAAAAAATTGCCCCCCAAAAATGTTCAACTTCATTTTTTTTATTTTTTGTTGGGAAACAACACAGGCTATTTTGAGAGATAAAAAAACAATAAAAAATAATGATGTTGATAATATTTATTGTCTATTAGGGGACCTTTTTTAATATTGTGGACTGGTATTGTCTATTCTGGGCTATAAATAGAAGATGACCTCATGTAATGTTATGCAGAATACACCAAATTCTCTTATTTCTTTCAAATGTATCAAGTATATTAACATAGCAGATGAAATCTTGGGTAGAAATTAGTTACAGTCAGTTTACTATAAACTTGAAAGTACTTCTTAGAAGTGGAATCAAAGTAAGAAGACATAAGGCCAATGTTGAGGGCATCATTTTCCCTTTTGTCCTACAGACATGTGTAAAAAGACTAAAAAGTGCTGATTTGATTGACTGGATATTGTTCCTTCTTATAGGTTGCTTGTGGAGGTTGTCACATGATGGTGCTGGCACATCACAGGTGCATTCAAAATGGGGACAGTCTTGAGTGCATGCCCAAACTGAGCACTGAAGGAAATCAAATTCTGCTGGAAAATGCAGTAAATCTTTCAGGTACATTGTCAGCAAGAGACCGGCGCCGACAGACAACAGTAAGTTTAAGCTTAACATTATTACTCTCCTCCCACCTGAATTACTAGGCAGGGTCATGGTTGCCTAATTGCATGAGAAGTAGATAATTGAACCATATTTGAAAATGAAATGCTAATAAAATTTGAACTGATTTTCTTTTCGTTAGTAGCTCAAGTAAGCCCAGCATGTCATCTTCCAAGGATGTTCTGTGTCACTTGAAACATTGCGTGTGACCCATTGCCTCGTTGCCATAAGCATGTTCAACGTTTCTGTAGCAGACTTCCAAAGTTGAATGCAAAAATTAATGTTGGCTCTTTGTTCCAACCTCCTGTTTATGTCAAAATTGCAGCCTAGAGCATACATGTGATCATAAAAATACAAATTTCACAACTTGTGAAGTGAATACAGCAATGTCACTCAGCACACTGTTCTTTGTGTCTGTTCTGTCCACAGAATGCATGTGTGTTCTTGATCTTGAGTGATAGGATTTTCTTATCACCTCATCCTGAGATCTTCTGATGACTCACAAAGCCAAATACTTCACTGGTTTATATAAGTGATCCCACCCACCTGGGCATCCTATTCCCAGCCTGACATTGATATATGTAAAAATGTCCACCTTCATCAGGATTATCTCAGTGGGTTCATTGTCCTAACCCCAACAAAAACATTTCCCCAACTTTTAATGTGGAATACCTTATGGTTTAGAATGGTAGTATTAAGGAATTTATCCCTCTTCGATCAGATTTCAGCTCAGAAATCCATGCAAATATTTTTCTTTATCAGAGAGATAGACAACCACATCTGAGAAATTCCAAAGTTAATGACATTACATCAAATTCGTTTGGGGTTCAGCTCTCTCTCTCATTCCTTCATCAACTTCATTTTATATGTTTAACATTTTTTTTTCTAATTTTACAATTCTCTGATAGACAAGATTTCTAATTGATAATTGGGAAGATACTTCATGTATGAACAAAAAAAAACTCCTTTTTTTCCGTAAATGTCAATTATAAATTTTGATTTATTTTTTTTTTGCTGCATTTATTCTTGCAGGATTCTTCCCTTTCTTCCCTCAACCGTACACTTCCATCTTTGTCTGGAAAAACATTACTGCTTCCTCACAACCCTGATCATCTACAGAATTCCATAGCACCTGCTGTTGAAGTTCGGCATTTACCAAGACTGAGGAACAATTTGTCAATAGGTAGGATTTTTGCCAGTAAATTTCTTTGTGACATTGTTGTTGGCTGATTATAAATGAATAAATTAATAATGTTTTATGGTACATTTATTTATTTATTTTTAACCTTTTCACCTCAAACAAGGCAATAAAGCCACTATGATGCAAGGGGGTACTGGGTGTTAGAGAATATGAGAAAAAAACACTGTTAAGGCGAGAGAACAATGAAAGAACAAGAATTAAGAAGACATTAGATAATGATTGACATTGCATTTAAATTTTTGAAGATCAATGTTGACTAGGAAGCAAGATGCTGGAAGAGAGTTCCACAAATGAGAAGTGTGAGAGAAGAAACTCTTAGTATAGAACTTATGGTTACATCTAGGCAATTCAACTGTAAAATGATGGGACCTAGCTGCCAATCTAGTACTGTGCTTAAGTTCATAAAGTCTAGATACCATAGAGGAAAGTTCATCAGGACAATTAGCATGAAAGTATTTATCGAAAAGACACAGGGAAGCTACATTCTGGTGGTGGGAAAGTGACTGAAAGTGAGATGTCAGGTCAGGACCAATAACATTGCAGATTCTTCTTTTGATTTTATCAAGAATGTTTAAATATATAACAGAAGCACCAGACCAAATGTAACAGCAATATTCAAAGTAAGGATGAATGGTAGACTGATATTAATACTGTTAACACGTGCATAAAGACATGGCTCCAAATTTAATCAGCCGTTTTGATGAGATCAAAGTGTAGTACAGTACTTCCTCGATTATCTGTTCCTTTATTATCTGGACATGAAACGAAGGGAAAAATTGAAATCATTCAAACATTTTTCAATTATGCAAACTAAACTCATTCTAATATTTCATCTCAGTAAATCATTTTGAGAATTTAGAAAAGCATAGTCAATGTTCAAAATTTCAATTTCAAGCTCCAAAACAATGATTATATTTGACAAATCTTTTAGTTGGTTGCACTTTCAACCAGAAGCCATCCTTACAAATACATCTACTTTAATCCAGCTTTGGAAGTTAGCAGCAGAAAAACATGTGAGTCCAGACAGAAACACATAAAAACTGATGTAATTTTCATAAAAAATAAACTGGGCAAAATGTTGAAGAAAGCATTTGAAAATATTATTTGATGATATAAATGTTAAATTTCATTCGGAAAATGACGTTTTTCTTGAATTATCTGAACATATTTTTTACAAACTCTGCCACAAGGTTTCTAGATAACTGAGGAAATGCTGTATGTATTCTTCTTTCTATGCTGTGATGGAAGCTTGATCCGCGGGATTCCAATCTTGTGGCAGTACTTCTCATTGTACTAAAGAGGGAAGGTTGGTGGGTACCAATACCAGTGGTCAGAGGAACTAGGCAATTTTTTTCCTTGATTTATATGTATGTGTAAGGGCATTCCACATTAAACTGACTTTGTTTCATATCCTACCAACTGTGGGAAGGTGAGGAAGTGCTGACACATGCATATTAGTTCTTTGTGTCTTGAAAACAGCTTATAAAGAATTCCTATCAAATTACAAACAAAAATTTAATGTTCATAATTTTTTTCTTGTTTATAATCAAAATGAATTATTATTATCATTATTTACATGCAGACTATTGTCCTCATCTTTGTCTTAGCACAACATTTGGGCCATTGCACCCTCTTGCCTTTGTCAGGTGCATCTTACAGCCACATCATATTGAAGCAACAGTTCTTATACATTCACTAAAGTTAAGCAACGTCAAGCCTGGTTAGTACCTGGATGGATAATTGCTTGGGAATACCAGGTGCTGTAAGCTTGGATGTGCAGATGGTGTAATGTAATTTCTGATGGAAGTTAAATATTTATTCTTACATAAAAATGTATTGATATGGGAGGTAAATCAGCTTCAGTTATTTTAATCTTACTTATTATAAAACACAGATTGTGTGTGTGTATGTGTGTGTGTGTCTAACGTTTATATATTGGATAGGATTTCCTACATTTTGCAACCGATTTCAACAAAACTTCACAGGACTATATAAAATTACCTTGTGGTGGTTCTAATAGCACCAAAAATGGGAAAAATATAATTGTTTTTGCACAAAAACACGATTAAGAGACATCGTGAAAATAGAAGGGGGACAACTCACATCGGGTTGTTTGTGTGTGTGTGGGTTCCTTTAAATATGGGAGCGGATTTCCTATATTTTTCAGCCGATAAAACAAAACTTCACTTTTTTTTTTTTTTTTTTTGGCAGGTAGTGTTTCTTATTCTCTTGCACACTTTTTCTTTATTTTTAATATTCAGAATGCTTTAAAATTCCATTTACAAGACAATTATTTATAATAAAATTCAATTAGGAGACTCATAACGATTGAAAACAATGTTTTTTTTTGAGTTTGGGTTTGACCAATTTGTAAAAAAAAAAAAAAACTAATTAAGACATGCGTGTCCGTCAACCTTAAACAATAATCTAACGATCTATACTGATTGTAACGAATACAAACATCGGATAAATTCTTTATCTTTAGGGAAAAATAATGAAATCTAAACATACACAAGTCCTAACTAAAAAATAATAACTTGAACGAGAAACTACTTTAAATACATATGGTGTCCAATTTTTTACTGTATTTAATAATTAAAAATCATAAATTGTAAAAAGATTATTATAACAGAAAGGCTACTAAATGAATAAGATTTGTTAGATCATAATTAATAAACCCAAATAAAGTTAATATTTTTTGTATTAGAAACAACGAGTGGAAAATATATTCAAATCAGAATTCTAATTATGAATCACCACAAGCAAAATATGCAATTTTTTTACTGTATTCAATAAGTAAAAATCATAAATTGTAAAACTAAAAGATTACAGAAAGGCTACCTACATTTTTCAACCGATTTCAACAAAACTTCACTTTTTTTTTTGGCATGTAGTGTTTCTTATTGCCTTGCACACTTTTTCTTTATTTTTACATTCAGAATGCTTTAAAAATTCCATTTATAAGACAATTGTTTATAATAAAATTCTATTCAATTGGAAGAGACTCATAACAATTGAAAACAATGTTTTTGTTTGAGTTTGGGTTTGACCAATTCGTAAAAAAAAAAAAAAAAAAATCTGATTAAGACATGTGTGTCCGTCAACCTTAAACAATAATCTTTGTCAATTTTATTTTTCAGTCTTTATGATGGTGGATACTTGATCTATCTCTTACTGTTATATCCCCGGGCAACGCCGGGCTCTACTGCTAGTAATTTATAAAATGAAGTTTCTCTTTGTCTTTTTATTTTGATAAAAATTAACTTCTGAGCAATGTTGGGTAACTCTGCTAGTATCCAAATAAAAAAGTTATCTGGTGTGTACATACACACGTATATATATATATATATATATATATATATATATATATGTAACACGTTTATATATAAAATCAAAAATGTTATTGGTTTTCCAAAATTTTCAAGTTTAGGAACACTCCAAAATATTTATCAAGCAAGCTATGGAAGACATAATGTGACACAATTCAATATCTAATAAGCAAAAGTCAGTAAGTGATGTTTTTGAAATTTTTTTAAAATTATGTTTGTTTGGGATCAATTTATGTTAGATATTTTGAATAACATGAGGTTAAGAATTTAACCATTTTCTTTTAATTTTTTTTAACATTTTTGTAGTCATGTATCTTGACTTGGGAAAGTAGTAATTCTTTCAAGAATAGAGATATTGGAAAAAAATCCGGGATGCAGATTTATATTTTGATAATATTCAATAGCAGCACTCTTGAGAATTTTCCCTCTAAGTTAGTTACTTTCTCTCATGATAAGTGTGGCATTCTTTTGATCAAAGTTGTGGTTGAATTTATTTCTATGTGTCTTTCTTTCTTTTTATGTGCCCTTTCAGGATGTAGGTGATCATGGCTCTCCACTTCCCTCTATACTTTGCAGCTCTCTACAAATTCTGTCCTTCTGCTGCCTACCCCAGACCACATTCTGTCATCCACTTGCTTAAGCCTACTCGGTATGTCAGGTGTTGTTTTTCCGTCTTTCTTTCCTTCTATTCGACCTGTGAATATAAGATTTTCCAGGCCCTCCTTCCTCATTACATGTCCCAGGAACTTCAGCTGTCTTCATGATTTTAAGTATAAATGTTCTCCTTGTTTGCATCCTAAGGCCTCATTGTTGCTCACACACTCAGTCCATGATATCCTCAGCATCCTTCTGTAGAAACACATCTCTGTCGCCTTGAGTCTTTTCTGAGACCATCCAACATTCGTTGCTGTAAAGGAGGACAGATGTCACATAACAGCTCTGTACTCTTTTCATTGTTACCAAAGAAATCCTCCTGTCCCGCAATACTCTACCCAGCTTTTGGAATGCGTTCTTGGCCATCCCAATACATCTACTAATCTTGGTGTCGTACATATCCTCTGTCAAATTGCTTCCCAGATATTTAAACTTTTGCACCTGTTTGATTTTAGTGTCCCCAACCTGCAAATCACATTTCAGGCTCATCCTTTTACTGATGACCATGCATTCTGTCTTCTTGTAGTTTATGCTTAGTCCCTTCATCTCGCTCTCCTTTGCTATCTTCTGTAGGAGATTTCTTTTTCTGTGTCAGTACTGTGTCATCTGTGTATTTTATGTTGTTAAGATTGTGGCCACCAATGCTGAATCCCACTAGGGTTTCCAATTCTCTCAGAATTGCCTTGCTGTATAGGCTGAACAGGTCTGGTGAGAAGATACATCCTTGACTTATGCCCCTTTCTATTTTTGTATATTTGCTGAACTTGTACTCTATGTGCATGCATGCTGTTTGCTGCTAGGATAGCTTCTTGATTATTCTAATATCTTTCCCAAATATATCAAGGTTGCTGAGCAGTTCCGACAGATCCTTGTGGCGTACTTTGTCGAAGGCCTTTGCGTAGTCTATAAAACATAGGTGTATGTCCTTCCACATTTGTATTGCTCTTTCTGATAACATTCTGAGCATGAATATCGCGTTCCTTGTTCTGGTGTCTTTAA